TCACGAGGTATGTGAACAAAGAACCATCGAACTTTTATGGCAGTTTGAAATTTTACAAAGGAGTTCTGGTCCTACTGGTGCTGCTGAAGCACTCGTCTGCCTAGTCTCATAATGTATTTTATCATTTTATTTTTGATCTATGCTCAGGTTAGGACAACAGTCCACCCAAAACTATTGGTTCATTCTAATCTATTAATTCACGACCAATCTACTAAAGTGAATTCTAATTCTCAAAGAAAACTACTATGGACTTCATGCCATAATGGAAAACTTAACTACTTTCACTTGTTCAAAAAATTAATTTCCTAAAAATTTATTGCATTTTTATTTGGTATAATAATATTTAAATTTTACTTATAAAACAGGGAATATGTGGTAGTGAAAACAAAAAAGTTTTACTTATGCCGTGTAATGAGCGAGCCCTGTCCCGTGAAACAACTAAATGAGAGAAAACGACAAAACGTGAAGATTTAATTAGACGAAGACGTCGAATAAGATCTAAATTTCTAACAGAAAGATAGATTATAGTTAGCTTTCCTTTTTTTAACTTGTCGACATGTAGGTCAAGTTAAATGCATCGAATTACACCTGAGATGGGAGATGAGCAACAAGAGGGATGAATTGTTAAAAACTCCTGCTTTCTAACAGCACAAAACGAGAATGAGCGGACCGATGTTCGATTTAAACTTCTATTTTCAGTTGAGCTGTATTCAATGTTATTCATCCTAAATGGGCAAATATTCCGTTGTGAAACGCCATGGTTGAAAGGCACGGCTAATTCCTTTTGTTACGACGTTTGGAAACCCCAAATCCAATGCAGTCGCACAACTCTTACCCAATGGAAACAAACTTAAACGGACTGTCGTCCATGAACGCTCATTAATAAAAAACAAAAACAAAAAGCAACAACCTTGTATAAAAGTTACGACGAATACGACCCCAAGGAGACATTACCTTTCTTCTGTGAAATTATCAATTTACACCTGATGCACACGCTTTCTAGATGCCCAGTAGACAAATATCCTTAATAAATTCACCTCTGAAGATTTTTTTAACAAAAAACTAATCGATTACCTATTACATCTCTTATTAATTTTACATTAGCTGCATTGTCAATTTATTGTTTGATAGTACCAATTTGTGTCCAAGGTAGTCTAATGTCCTTAAGTTTTTAAAAAACCGAAGGACTTGATCATTCGTCGAATTGGCTGTGAAAATATTCCACAAGGAAGGTACGTTCTCAAGGTATACCGATTGATCTAGGACTTGAGGCGGTACAGTGGCAGGAGAAGTTTGTCTCAAAATTAAGGCATGTACGCCAGTATCTTTCAATTCAAATCTATACAGCAGAAGGGTGTAACAGAAGATACGAAGACAGTCTGATAGGTAAATGGCCAGAATAGGCTTGAAAATAGTAATGAAATGCAAACCCGATGTCTATCTACTGAGACAGTGATGGTTAGGGATGGTTAGGGTGTCAGGATAGTGTGGATAGTCATTGTCCCTTCAATTGTTTTTCGATTTAAGATTCTTTACTCAGAAGTGGTAAAGCTTTTATTTTGGCCTCTAATAAGCCGGAGAATCTATTCGTTATTGTCCTCTGGACTATTTGCGAAATAGGCTAAGGCCATCTTTGGGCAGGGCAGGTCTTTTTCCTCTATTATAGTAGAGCCCTTCCATGATGTCAATCATTCCCTCGTCGCCTGATCTCCACAAATGTGGGATAGCCAATGATTTTATTGCTCGCGTTGAAGAAGTGAGGTTTCACATCGTTTTCCTACTGCTTAACGTCCGTAAGGATTGAGGGTAGTCCTTATAAATGCAAGGATCAAATGTTCCTTTTTCGTTTTGAGGAAAGTGCCGCTGAGTTTATTACATTCTTCAGTAATTTATTTCCTCTCTTACTTTTAATTAACTTAAATTGGGTTACTTCAACTCAGGATGGAGTTTCAGCTGGGAATATAGTTGTGGAAGAGTTAGGACTAGAAATTTTTCTTCTGCTTCGTACATTTTTGTTCTGAAAGTTAGGACTTGACCCTTTACCTCTAAAGAGGAACTAAGTCCCTTAGAGGGAATTGATAAGGAATTGTTCATGGAAGTTCCCATGAGAAATTAAAGAGTTATTCGGTCACTCAGGGTATGGTCCCTTTAGGAGAGCTTTTTACTACTGGAGGTCGCCCAGTATCCAGAGATTGCATTCTAGCGTTCAGGCACCCCCTGATCATTTGGCCATTCGGGGGCGTACGCTGTTATAATATTGTAAAACTTTTTTCCTTTCTTTAAACATTTCCATTTTTTTCAATGAACACCTCGAAGTATATAGAGAACGTCAGCGCTAATGGTTAATCAAAAATCGCCAGAAGGTGCCTAGGACAACCCTTTCCATCATTATTCGGTCGTCTTTATACTTTGAGCAGTCAAATATTAGATGATACCAGTCCTGAATGAGTGCAGGACAGGTGCATAAAGGGTCATCCGTTAAGTTGAAGCGTGCAGATAGGCTTTCTTTTTGCGAGGTAAACCTTATTAGTAATTGCATTAGCTGTGCTATTGTTTTGAAGGGCAGTTTCAATCTGGAAGTTACAGCTGGGAAAAATGCTTTTGTGCAGTGCACTTCGATGAACTTTAATGTGTGCTTTTTTACACTATCTGTATATTTGGATTCTCTGAACTGGATTGAATACTCCCCAAGTCGTGCTTGGTGAGTTCTTAGGTGCCTTCGTAGCGACTTGAATATTCCCCGAATGAAAGCTGATATTGCCAAGTTTGCCTTAGCAATATTTTTATCACAGCCTTTTGCTGTATCTATACTTCTGTGACTACAGGACTCGCACTACGATTCAAAGAAACGGTGGTATCCCCGATTTTCCGAGAGGTAAAGTTGACATAAAAATTGTTTTATTACATACTGGGTTGAAAGGGGTTCCCTCACGTCACCCAAACGCCTGAGGGAGTCTACAAACATTGATGACCATATGCTTTTCTCTTCTAAATGGCTTTCTATTATCCAATTATTCTGTGGGCCTAGTGGATAGTTGATTGTTTAGTTCTGAATTCAAATTGATGGTGTGATATAACGCTTTTTCTTTTTGGTCAGTGTTTTTAACCTTTTCAGAAGTAATTTTGGAATGACAGGGAATAACGAGATAAGCTGATATGACTCAGCATCGTTTGCCTTGTGTTATCAAGTTGATTTCAACCACTTTCCAGATAGTTGGGAAATGTCATACCTGATGCCTTTTTAGCCTAAAATAATGCTGAGGAACCGCAAGGATAGAATCTTCAACTAAGTCAGAGATCTTTAGCGAATGCAGACACCTGCATGATTTTCTGCCCACAGAGATAATTATTTTTTATATACTTATTTTTTTTAATTACATGGGCATTCGACAGCTAGGTCATTTTCTGCTCTGAGCGCATGCGAAATATGACTGCACGCATTCAACATACGCATTCACACTAATAAATACATTCACACCTACGTTCATTGGGGTCGAAGGGGTACTTTTTTTATAAATATTCCGTCTTCGACCCAAGTAAGTCACGCACATAGTTCGAGGGGTGTTGCTATTTCACCATCAGCCCCTTCCCATTCACACTAATAAATACACTCACTTATACAAAACACATATTTTGACGGCTATATACAATTTAAAAATTCCCAATTCCTCTAAAAACCGGAACAGGGGACCCTGAAATTCACTACTGGGTCCGAGAACCCCTTTTAAATCTGGGGGTACCCTTAGCCCCCCCCCCTATAGGGTACCTTTAGCAACCTTTCTCTGCATAGGGGGCACCAGAGGGGGGTTGGCCCACAAGCAAGTGCCCATAAGAGATATTTATTCTTATACATAGTACTAGTTCATCACGGTATAACAAGTATTATATATAATTGTGTAACAAGTATTACAGTGCGTTTTGATAGCTTAAAAAAAGACGATGGAGTTTGTTAGAAGGAATTTCACATCGTACCCGTGTACTGAATAATCGAACGAGCGTGACGATATTCTATGTCGCATCTTTATTCTCAAGCCTAGCCCAGAGCGTTAACAATGTTTCTGAACAATGTTGGACGTTGTTTCGCAACAGTTGATAAACATTCGCTCGGAAACACCTGTGTACATTACTCCATGTCCTGACCTCCGCCGGTGTTTCTCAGTTGATTAACATATCATGCCTATCTGCAAAAATTTGTATTGCCAATTTGTTTATTCGATTTAACTCTTATTTTCTTCATAATTTCCACAGCATCCCTTTTTTTTATTAATTTTCAACAACCACTACTGGTAGCATCAAAACAAGGTGTGTTTTTTACCTTCTCCGTTAGTTTTTTCTTGATTGCTTTTTATAGTCACTAATCTCAAACTATTTCGACCTCTTTGGTTTACTTATCTGTGTTCAAAAACCCAGACTTGTTCAGTGTTAACATTGTTTTCAATTTAAGTTGAAACTTGATTATTCAGAAATCGTGAGATGCGGTCTGGTGTGATAGGTTTCAGAAAAACATTTTCTTTTTTGTGCCAACGTTTCGATCTTTATTTATTTAGAAATCGTGAGATGCGGTCTGGTGTGATAGGTTTCAGAAAAACATTTTCTTTATCGTGCCGACGTTTCGATCTTTATTGAGATCATCTTCAGGGCCTGGGATTTACAAACATTGTTTACATTTAACAAATACATTTAGGATGTGGAAAGTGAATTTATACTATGCAAAATATATTTTTTAAGTTGAAACGATGGAAGACATCTAAATCTGCTTCGTATCATCTATGAAATATTCCTGAAACTACCAGAAACGAAATCGATCCGTTTGGAACATTGGGTTGTTCATAAACATTCAGCTTGAACTAAGTTTTATGGTTTACGACAAAGGTTTAGTTTGGTAGCTTAGAAATGAGATGGACTATATTATATGTACACTGACTTTTCTACACTTTGTGATATTCTAGCTCTAATCAAATTCAGTATGATTTTTTTTATCTTAAATTTTTCTCCCCCAGAAAACAGCTACCTGACCAGGCGGAACAACTGATCCTCCGGGACTCCCTCAAATCGGCGTCTCCCGTCTTGATAAAGATCTTCGAGGTGGTGAGTGAAAACGTCCACCTCATGAATAACTCTGACGCGTCCCATGCAAATTGCACGGGCGCGGAGCGAATTATAAATTCAAAAAAGTTGCGAAAACAATTGGTTTCTTTTTTTTTGCAGGTGCTTTCGGCGCTATGCCTTTCTCTCATTTTCGTGCCGTTCGACAACAAATTGCAGATCAGCATGCACAGGACTGCAGTGGTCGGCATCGGCCTATCACTGCCCCTGATCACGAACGTCGTCCTCCTCTATGGACACTTCCGGAGGGAGCCGTCGCCCAAATCCACGGTAAGTAAAGAAGAACGACATGACACCTTTAACCGCATGGCATTGATTTAATAATCATGATTTGTCCACTAAGCCGATGACGGAAAAGTCCGTTTGTCATAATAACGCCAAACTGTCTATGCACAGCTGACGACAAACTGTGCATAAACCATCAAAAGTTCATTTAGCTCCCATCCAATGGAAACTTTCTTACATTAAAATGATTTCAAAGCCCATAAAAATTTAAGTTCCCCATCATCTTATCGCCCTATTAGTTTGTTAACCGTTTCTTCTAAATTATTCGAAAAATTAATTTACAAAAGAATTATCTCTATTGGTTTGAGTATGTACCAACAAATCTTCTCTTCAAACAACATCTTACCAGACCATCACTTTGGCTTTCGAACCCATCATTCCACTACTCGTGAACTTCACACAGTTACAAATTTCATTAGTTCATGTCTAGTGCGGACACTGTACGGATATACTGGAGTGTTTCTAGATGTTTCTCAGGCCTTCGACAAAGTATGGCATGAGGGATTATTATACAAATTTTTATCCCAGGCCTATTATCTAACTATTCACTCATACGTTAAGAGGAGATTTTTCGCAGTAAATCAGGTTACGGAGACTTCTGGGATGGAAGAAGTGCTTGCAGGTGTGCAGCAAGGGTCAATACTCGCTTAGCTGTTGTACACAATTTTTACTTACTCTTACAAGAAACGATTTAAAATGCTTTATTACCTACACAACCGACAATCAAAATTACCATTAAAATCAAAACTTTCGACATGGACATAAATACTCAAACCTATTTGGATATACAGGTGCCAAGATTATGGATCGGCCAAATATTCCAATATTCAAAGATTACAAAGCTTTCAATCCAAAAATTATTTTCCCCTTTTTACGTACACAATAGCACACTTCACAGAGATGTTCGTTTTCATAGTAAATTATAAAATCAAACTAACACATAAATACGATTACTCCATTCCCGACAATTATCAAGTAAACGACTGGAAAGAATTTGTATGAGAGACCTATTAAATGATTAATATCATTTTATTAATCGAGAGCAGCTGCCAATGGATAGCTTTCTCTATAACGCCTGTAATGACACAAACATAAAATTATCCCCAATCTGCTGGTTGTATGTACATGTACAGTGCAGATACAAGTAAATGAAGTAAAAAAACACCGGACAGCTTTCTGTTTATTTGTACATGGACTGAACAAGAAGAGACAAACTGACGGCAGAAGAAGATTTCAATAATCATCTTTCTTCATTCTGTTACGCTAACTTACCTGATAATAGTTATGGGGAAATGTTTTACTTCAAAGTTTAACTCGTGCAATATATACAAAAATGATCTAATATGTTGAATTAGGAAATAAGAACTCTGAAATGACGTTCAGTAAAACCAAGACCGTTATAACATAACCTGACCAAGACCATAAGCTGACCAAGAGAGGATGGATTTCGTTTTGTCCCGTTCGAGCTTCACATTAAAAGTAAGATGCTTAATTGTGATATTCCGGTAAGAAAAGACAATAGAGTCTTCCTAAATCATGAAAAATATGATGAAAATACTGAGCAGTAGTGTAAGTTCGGGTCAGTCGGCATCAAAACTTCCTTGGATTTTTTTTTTTAATTTTGTTTTTAAATAATTTCATATTATAACTGTTGTGTTTTCTTTTGTTTTCAGATTTACGCTTTCTCCTTTATCTGCGGTATCCTGCTGATCGCCGCAGGTTCCGTCCTCATGGCGGACTGGTGGACGTTCATGCGGAGTCTTCACTTCCGCCCTCCCAAGATGTTCATGGACCTGATGATGTCCGCGTCGGTCTTCTCCTTTATCCTGGGCCTCCTCTGCTTCCTCGATGTCTATCTCACATACCTTTACTACTGATGAGACTACGACCCGACCACTCCATCGCGACTAGTTCATTTTAAACTAACAGTACAAATATACCAAAGTGTTCTATATTGATTATTTTCTTTGATTGTATTAATTAAAAAATGAGGATATATATTTGACTGTACAACTGTTGGAAAAAGAGAATTTAAATTATTGACAGTTATATTGTCTTTACACAACGATTTTATTATTACCATTAGTTAAAGCTTATATATTAAATATGTACAAAAGCTTATATTTTTGTCTATAACTCATATGTGTATTTTTAAGAATTAAAGATAATGTATAGAACTACCGAAGACTTTTTTAAAATTAAAACTTATAGGTATTGCACAGACCATCTTACCACCGGTTTATCAATGCAATACTAATAACAAAAGTTTTCTTCCTGAGGACTTTGGGGTGATGAACTTATAGCTTGGTGGTTGAAGGTATACTTATACCTACAAATATATACTTTTCTGATTAAGTCTACTGTTAGCTATAAATCACTAGGTGTTAAATATGAACTCACAGCCCGCGCAGGTAGCTTTTTGAAAACGGTGACAAAAAAAAAAAAAAGGAGAAAGCTGAATTTCTCCGCCTCCATTTTTGTCATCCTGGCAACAATAAAAGACCAATGGCCATAGAAAATTTAAAAATGCCTAAAACAACACGAATATGTGTTTTGATTCAACTCGACTCACTCTAGGCCTGGTGAAGCCTTCATTTAAAGAAATGTTTACGTAGGAGTCGATTAGTCCAGTGGAATTAACGATGAGGAAGTGAATCATCCACGCATTCTTAACGGCGCACGTGCGTGCTGTGCTGGTCGTGGCCGGGCACGCCGCGATTACTAATTAAAAAAAAAACAAAAAAAAGCAGACCTCTGGAGAAATGTTAATTTAAATTTGATTTTAAAACGCAATCCCGTTCGTTGATATATTTCAGAAAATTCTGGATAATCCGTCCATTTAAATTGTCAATTCTTCCTTATTTTGGGTGTTGATTTGTGATGTTGAGACAAAAAAAGGTTTATCCAATAAAGCGAAGATTTGAAATTGTGAACTTCACGTAATAGCATCATTTCCGGTCCTTCCAGTCGCTGATTCTTTTATTCTTTGTCACTTTGGCATTTCAACTTGACAAACTTTGGCTTTTCTGTCACATGTAAGCCATAGCTAAATTCATGATGAAGGCGTGTCCCTCAGTCGTCAAACAATTAACAGTAGACGAATTTAAATTTTATTTCTATTTACATTTAAAAATAATAATAATTTGGGTTAGAAAAATAATCTAATATTGCATCATAGGCTACATTCCTGAGTAAAAAGTATAAATATTTGAATAATATATTTCAAGGGCACCTTATACAACTCTACACTAACGCGTAATTTTAATTTTATAATTTTCCAAAAAAGTTCTAAGTAATTAATCTATATTTCTTTACAAGGTGCTCTTATGGACGTGAATAAACACTCTTTGAAAAATAATGCAATGTAAAAAAAGTCCTGTGATATTTTGTCTTCAGGACTGCAGTGAGATTAACATGTATTACGATTTTGGCCATTTAAGTCTATCAGCGTTTTGGCTTTTCAGACTTCAACGGTCAGAGATATAAGCAGGGAGAGACAAAAATACAACCTACTGCAGCCACTCGTTAGTTAAATTATTATTTGGAACTTCGTTGGGATGCTTCCTCGAGTATTTCAGATCTCATTGGATCCTTAGCTATGATAAGGCCATGATAAAGGCTGGAATTTTTTGTACACCCCTTAGATAGGCCCTAGTAGTCTGATTAGTGGTTAATTTTTGGCGTACAACACTTAGGAAATAAGCAATGTTATTGGGTTCTCGCGAAGAACGGTGTGTTGGTATTTTCATGGTCTTAGGCTTTTGATAAAATATGACCTTGTTTGTGACTTCTTTTCTGGTCGTTTGGGTCTGCCTATCACCGCTGTTTTAACGAAAAAGAAAATTTTCGGTTTTTCAACCGCCTACAGTTGTCGTGCAATATATGTAATCGATGCTGGTATTTTCCTAGACGTAGCGGGTTTTTTTTATTTTTTTATTAAGTTTGATCTATTATACATCCTCAAATTGGATACTCTACAGCCAGATAGTTATAATTTTTTGAATCAAAGTATGGTCTTGAAGAAGCAAAACAATCTTAAATATGTCTACAGAATGACATATTTAAGTTTTTTACAGGTGAACTTAAATTTCTTTGAAGACCGACTCAGTACCAACATTACCAAGGAAGAATGAATATTGCCAGTTGGGACTGAATCGGTTTTCAAAAAAATTTGAGATCGCATGTAAAAAAACTTAAATGTGTTAATCAGTAGACATATTTAAGATTGTTTTACACTGATGATGACCTTAAAATAGGTCGAAAGATGTTAGTAACAGAATTTGTTTTCTTCTTCAAGTCCATATCTTTTTCCAGAGTGTTCGTGTGTAAAATAGCAGTCGATAATTCTAATACTGAAAACAGAAACTTTATAATATTCTAGGGTGGTTTTTCTTACACGGCACTCAGGGGTTCAACGGTGTTAACGGACTAAACTAGATCTTAAAGAACAATGCTCGTATTGCCCTCGATAGAGCAGGCTTTTGATTATGTTTATACATCTCCACAGCCTGATGCTGTAATGTCAGTATTATAAATATGGTGGTTTTTCGTATACGACACTCCAAACAAATTGTTTGAAAAAGTTTGACACGATTGGTTGCTATTTGAGCTGGAATAACAAACAGGTTCATCATTTTTCAGTGGTGAGTTTGTATTCGTCTCACCCTGCTTATACCCTTACCTTAGTCTTTTATGGACATTTCGTGCTGTTTTAATTGGGAAGAGAGTATTAGCTTTTCACCACAATGGTCGTGGACTATAAGTAAGGTCATCGAATCAACCAAACCCGCTGATGATGATGATGATGGCGAAAAACCGAAACAGGTTTGACAGACCGATATGATCTGAAACGTCCAAACTAGAAATATGCGTTCTGTTTGTCAGACAACCCCTTACTAATTACTGAAAAGAGAAAAAATAGCTGAAACTAGCTAAACTGTCGTTTCGGACATGATCAGATTGCTGTAATCAAAATGCTTCAGCCAATTGAACCAGACAATTTTATTTTATTTAATAGGAATAATAATAAATTAAAAAGAAATGATTAACGTCGGACCATTTAAACAAATAACGACAAAGATATTTTTTTGAAAAGCTCGACCGGATTCTGTACGATGGACAATGTAATAAGTTTCTCTTCGGCTCTCACATTTTTATAGTAAAACCGTTTTTTCCCCCCAGAAAGATTTCACTTTCTTTCAGACGATTCCTTTTCTCGTCGAAGCTCGCTGTTTACAGGAAAAAGAAGAAGTAGATCATTTCGTAAATATACTTAATGCGAAGTTAAGCAGCTAGGCAATTGCTATGTGAGAACTCTTTAAACAATGCGATCTCAAAACTGGAATTGTACAACTGAAATTGTTGCGTTTTTGGGTGTCACCTTGTCTCGCTAAGTCCAAGATTCTATCTAGCAGTAAAAAAAAAACTAAAATAACGCAAACCTCAATATTTTCGTACGACTTCTAATGTTATAAAAAAGGAATAAACATGGCCGCGTAAAGACAGACCATCAGACAGGTTGATTTGATGTTCCATTGCCCCTTAATCCTTCGATTAGGCAAATCCGAATTGCCACTGGGCTAAGCTGGTAAAGAGATAAGATAGCTGTAGCAAAGAGGAATAAATCAAAGTTAAACAAACGAATCTATTTATAGTAATTAACATCAACAACAAAACGATATTTTTAAAAAATAATAAACTATATTTTAATCTATTCAGTTATCCTCTTGGTCCAGTTTTCTTTCTTCCTCGTTAAAATAGTTTCGTTGGGAGGTCCTATGAGGGCTCGGCCCTGGATTTTTGACTCCAGATGCGAAGCCGTTCGGATGACATCTTCCTTCTTAAGACGAATTAAGACCTCCCTGTGTCGCTGGAGCTCGTCGTCCGAGATGCCGAGTAGGAAATTGCGCACTCCTTTCGATCCGGGTGGCACGGGAGCGTCGATGGACTGAAAGACACCGAGTTTGGCCTCCTCGACGTCCTGATCGGTGAAGTTCCCGGCTTGGATCCACTCTCTGGAAGAGTTGAACGTGTCGAAGGTGTCGTAGGGCTTGGGATCCCTGTAGGAGTAGAAGCTGAATGTGCCCGAGGTGGAGACGTTCGCACCGGCCCCGTACGCTCCGCCCTTTTCTCTTATTTTGACGAGAAGGTACTTGGAAGTCAAAAGCCTCGCTAAGACCCTGAGCACCGGAAAGTCTGAATGCGTGTACTCCACCGTCGGGACGCAATATGCGGCGTAGCTCACCGGAAATGGAAGGACGTGGTGAATGGCGAAAGCGCCTGTCTTAAAGTTGTCCGGTTTCGACAGTTCGAAAGGCTGTTTAAATTCGCCGGGTACGCTTTTTAAAAAGCCTTCCAAGCTGGACAGGACTTTTTCTTCGCATTCGGGGTTCGTGTTGACGGCGAGTCTGATTAACCTTTTTTTCATGACTATGTCCGCGATTCCGTTCATCATGTCCAAACAGTCCGAGAGGTTTTTCTTCTGTGACAATTCCTTCATCGTCTGTACGAAGGTAAGACCACCGAATTGTTCTTTCCTGAGCGCGGAGGGAGAAATTAACGAGGCGGCGGTGGATAGGGCGTACAGGTGGCCGCTGTCGGCGATACCGTGGATCACATTGTTAGCGGTGATTTTTACGAGGGTTTCAAACCGTTTCTGGTCCTGGAGATTCACCGAATTGAACAATTCCGAAAAGATGCCCATCATCGCCTTGACGTTCCTGTCGAGGCAGAAAGAAGAGAACAGGACCCCCTCCTCATACGAACCGGTATCGTAAATGTTTTCGGCGATGTGAGTCGAGAAAGAGACACCTCCCGTCTTCAACTGTATCTGCTGATCCATTTGTCGGTAGTCATGTGTTTTGGTGCCCATCTTCGTGACGATGGAGCAGAAGAGGGGTAGGACGTTTTTGGCCTCGTCCGATAGTATGTTAGTATTGACGACCCCTCTAAAGTAAGTGAGGCCGTTAGTCGGAACCAGACACATTTGAGTAGGAACTTTGTGAACCATAAATCCTTTCAGTTTGACTCTTTCTACATCATCATTCAAATCGGATGTGGTCAATGTAGGCAGAACGTTGACGTCTTGCTTTAATTCTTGGTCCCTTGCGAGTTCCAACCCTTGGTTGTATATGTTATCTTTTTGCAAGTTGGTCAAGCTTGCGAGCTTCTGCGTCAACAAATCGTTTTCCGCCGAGGCCCCTTTCGCCTCGAAGCCATCGTCCGGACTCATCGTGAGGATAAGCCGATGGTGGTTGTCTTTTAGCATCTCCTGAACTAAATCCTGAAAATACAGTGGGTTGTCGGCAATGCATTTTTTCAGCTTCATCACTTTGTCGTTGACCTTCAACATTTTCGCAACGTCTCCGTCGTGATTCCAAACGGGAGTCAGTGCGAACAGTATGCCCAGACCGAAATCGGTCGACTGGTGTTTCGTATTAAGTTCGATCGAATGCAATATCGCTTTGACGTTATTCTCTTCAAAGCCCTCTTCGATAACTTTGTCGATAGTTTTATGATAAATTTCTACTATGTTGTCAAAATCGCTCTGGTCGACTGATGACAGACCTACGGAAAATATACTGTCCCTGGTCTGTGAGTCGTATCCCGTTACGGGGTTGAATCCACCCCCGATGTTGGGTTCGACGAGAGACTTGTAAAACGCCGAATTCGGCCCTCTCACCAGCAACTCCGATAAAACTTCCATGACGAAAGTTTCCTGCGGCGACTTGATATCGTTGCAAAGAGTCGAAATGGCGATCGACGACTGCTTTTTTGGATTACTCGCAAAAGGGTCCGGTCTACAGTGGATCGACTTTCGCCTCTCCGAGTCCCATCGCGGCTCCGACGGCACTTTGGTCATTTTCCCGAAATCTTGCGTATCGGGCCAATCCATTAGGTAGTTTTTATTGACGAAATTCAGCGTTTCCTGCAGGGGGAAGTTCCCATAGCTGTATATCCTGCAGTTGGACGGGTGGTAGTATTTTTTATGGAATGCTTTCAAATCGCTGTACGTGAGGGTAGGTATGACTTTCGGATCACCGCCCGATATCACGCCATACGTATGGGATGGTAGGATGTTGTTTAAAAGGGCTTCGCCGAAAATCGATTGGTTCTCCGAAAAAGCACCTTTCATCTCATTAAAAACCACTCCTTTGAACACGATGGGGGTGTTTTTGTCGTTGGTTATCTCGTGTTCAAGCCGCCAACCCTCTTGCCTGAAGTCTAGTTCTCTCAAATTTGGATGGAACACGGCGTCCATATAGACGGACATTAAATTACTGAAATCGGTCCGGTTTTGAGTGGCGAACGGGTACATCGTGTAATCCGGGCCTGTGAAGGCATTCATGAAAGTGGCCATGGACCTGTTGAGCATCTTGAAGAAGGGGTCTCGGCAAGGGTATTTCTGGCTTCCGCATAGCGTCGTGTGTTCGAGGATGTGCGGTAGCCCGGTGGAGTCTGTCGGGGTGGTCCTGAAGCTGACAGCGAAGACATTGTTCTGGTCGTCCCGGGCCAGGTGCAGGTAATCGCAACCGGTCTTCACGTGTCTCAGACGCACCATCGTCATGTTGAACTCCGGCACGTAGCTCACCTTATTCACTAGAAATCCCTCCATTTCCGTCCCTTCCTTCAAATCCCGGTCTACAGATCTTTTCACAGCTTCTGCACATCTTGCGTGAGATCTGGACAAACCACGGATACTCGAGTAACGCCGCCACATCTGAAAACAAAAATCGAGCATTACTAAAGCAAAATTACAATTTACTAAAAAGGTAGTAAATTACCCCCCCCCCAATGAACTATAGCCTTTTTTTGGTAAGAGTCATATAAAGATTCCAAGCCTTTTCCCCACTGACACCTATATAAGTCTTTTGTGGAACCCCTGTAATTATGACCACACCTTGGAAAGTGCACTTTTTTTCCTATATGACTGACTACACACTTTCATCGATGCCTCCGCGCGCACCTCTCTTGGTATGAGCATTGCCTTACCGATGTGGCAAGGGTAATATAACTGGGCTAATTGTTCACATTCACAAAGCATACGTGACGATGTTTGGTTTCTCTTGACATAGTCCGTACTTTTTCTTTTTGGGCGGTAGTTAAGAGGGCAGTTGCCAGTACAGAGGCCTATAATTTTCCTAAAATCCTGCCTTCTGAAAGAGAGGAGTTCCTTCGCCTAACTTTCTGAGAGAGTTATAAATCTCTTGGGTTGCTTCATACCTGGTGTTTTTATCCCGTACTTTAGTTTTTCTTTCTCAATCCGTTTTTCCTGTTCCAACCTGATTGTGTTTTCCAGAGAGCCTGCTTGAATGCACGTCTTTCATAATGCTGATGCCTCTCAACGAAGCCTCATTTGTTGTTCGAGCGTCGTTTATGAGGGCAGCTCTTTCGAAATCTTTCATGTAGTTCGGCTCTAAATCCTTGAGTTAAGAAGTTTGGATCAAGATTTTTGTTTATGAAGCACTAGCTTTATAACCCGGAATTGCTAGCCATAGAAACATGTGCACATGAAATTAAATAACATTTCAAGGATGCAAAAATAATACCATCAGGTAACCTAGACGGCTCTAAAGGCTTTCCCAGCCAACGAAATCAAAACAAAATTAGTTCGGAACTGCCTGAATACCCTAAAAAACATACAAATGTAGCTAACTTCGGTCCAGGTCATAAGGGAATTTCAGGAAACGAGGCAGCACACCTAGGATGTGTTGAACCATCTTGCAAACCGAATTGCTAGCCATAGAAATACGTGCACATGAAATATATAAATAACAAACATCTCAATGGGGCAACAATAATAATACTTGTCATATATACAGAGTGCTCTAAAGCCCCCCCCCCTATCAACACAAAACTAGTCTGGAACGTCTGAATACCCTAAAAAACTGGAATCTACAAATATAGCAAAGGTGGGTCCCAGAACAAAAGGGAATTCCTGGAAACGAGACAGCAGACATCCTTGAAAAAACATGTAGACCCAAATCCATTTTCTAGCCTAAATTACAGCCACATTAAAAAAACAAGTGGAATTTTGGGTTACTAAAGAACACAAAGACTAGTTGCAAAAACCACCCAATTAGACAAAGAGGAAATCCTACTCAACAGAAACCCTAGTTACGAGGTAATCTTCAGTAAAAATACCACCAATATGTACTAGTAATAGATGACCAATGTGGATTATATCTGACCTCAGCCAATAGCTGTGTGTTGTACCACTACAATATCTAAAAGCAGAGAGTGGTACTTAGGAAAGCCATTCCTGAACAGAGTAGACCTAATTACAATAAATTATTTTTTGCCGGCACACAACACTTCCTCTCTGCTTTTTCCACTTATGGTTACAATGACCTGGGAAACATCTGCACCCTTCACATACCAGCACATAGTAAAAATCTATATTCATTCACTCACCAATAACTGCTTACAACACGCTAATAAATACACTCATTCCTCTACTCACATGCCATACAACATACAATAGGGATAAATCGAGGGCCACCGGGGTACTCGATATTCCGCCGATGGCACTCCTCTCATTCATACCATAAGACTAAGCCAATTGGCTATCGAGGTACTGAAATATTCCGACGAACGGCCTATACTCATTCATGCCGATTCATCCAGCATTCTCGCAAATAAATTACAACCTTCAGCAAAATGCTGCTTCTTCATTAAAGAATCGAACATCTGCCATGAAAACCTTTAGCGGAGATCGGGATCGACGATTAAAATGGACTACGGCTTAAAATGGAGCCAAAAAAAGATTATTTTATATTTTTTCCCGAAGATCCACTATACAAGATGTCTAACTAACAATATTATTAGGTAGTAATGTAATTTGGTAAAATTGGTCATGAAATGGTTAGTCGATTGTGGTTTTAAAGACTTTTTTGTTGAAAATATCCTTACTTGGGATAAAGTAAATTCTAAAACACCTTGTACATTTTATAATCAAATTTCATTATATTTAGGTATAAATTTCATATATACACAGAACCTAACAATATTTTATCGTAATTTACGTTAGAAGGAATCTGAATTGATATTTTTTGAACTAGTTTGACAAAAGACGACTTTATAGCATGGAGCAAGATGTCGTTTCTCGGCTAGTCCATCGCTCATCGTAAATTCAAGTCTTCAGGTCTTACAATGACGGTATATCGCACAACGAAGTGCGCGGTGAAACTCGACAATCCCCGATTGTCAAAACGACCGGGGAACTGAGCAAAAAGGAGTTTCTTTCGTACGAAAAAAAATTCCGAAGTGCCAGAGTTGACAAAAGCGAAACGCCCCCGAAATTTCCTTACCTGGAACTGTGGCAGCAAAAAGCGGGAATAGTAACGAAGACGATCCATCTCGGCGGAAGGCAAGAAAGGGAAAAACACTTCTAAAAGTCTAGAAGACAAACTCGTTTCATCTTGGCATTTTTCACAAGGGAATTTTGAAAACAAACGACACCATGTGATGAGGCTACGGTAAGGTTGACTGTTAACTGTTAAGGTAACCAAGGTGATACCTCGTCATAAGGACGTTATCAAGGTCTCGTCACCGTGCTGCATTTTTCATCACTTTTTCCTTAGCCATTTTCTACATTCTTATTAAAAATAAACTGCGTTTGTTTCTTTAAAATATCTTCTTTGACAAAAGAAAAATATATTTAAACTGTTCTATTTTAAATAATTCATTACGTTATTTTTTTAGACATAGACAGTCAGCTACTTATAATATACCTTTGTCTTTCTAGTTTCTATTACAAAACGTTTATTGCAGTAGATTAACTTTTCAGAAAACCCGTCTGACTTTGCAGATTTGATATGAAAAATTTACTAATCAGTAAAGCTTCCTTGGAAATCGATTATATCGAAACTATTTTTACAGTCTTATCAAAATGTTTTTGACGTTCTCCCGCCCAAGCGGCCCCACAGAGCAGGTCGTCATCGGCTGTTTTGTTTGCTCACATTTAAAAAAAAATCATCGACCTTATTATTTTTTCATTTTTTTTTTGTAAAGAAATCAAATTCCAACAAGTGTCGATTAATGTAAAGTCTTCTAAAATACAGTACCTGAGAGTTTGATGAAGGATGGATAAATTCAAGTGTAGGAAGCGACAGATAAACCAGCTCATTGAATTATATGGATATGTAAGTGTTCATCTTACTTAAAATACTAAACCTAAAAAAAAAGTATATCTTTTTTTTAATTAGCAAAACGAATATGTGCCGAATTTGACTTTTGTCTATGGCCCATCAGCCGTTGGAAAGACAACATTGTTGACTGAGTTCTTTAAGGTGAAAGCTTCCAGATACGCCTATATAAATTGTATCGAGTTCTATACGCAGCGGCTGCTGCTTGAGACGATCTTGTCACAGCTTTTGGGCACGAGCGAGGGCGTCAGTTGCGACAGCTTAATGGACTTGGTCCTTCAACTTCAGATCGCACAGAGCCAGGGCTATTTCAACGTCGGACCTCAAGTTATTGTAAGCTTGTCACAAAGTTTAACTATCAGCTGGAATTAAATGTTCGTTCGCTTATAGATACTTGATGGTGTTGAACACCTCGAAACAGTTTGTGAACAATATTTCGCCTTTTTTTCCGCCTTACAAGAGCTGAGTGCAATCTACACTCTGAGCGTCGTTTTTGTGAGCTCGATCCTTCCAGAAAAGTTCAATACTGATTTGGCGTTCGTTCAAATTGACTTTCCACAGTACACTAAGGGTACGGAAAAATTAATAATGTAATAATAATGATATTAATATTGTAAAGAATGTTTCTTGATCATTTTTCCAAATGCTGCATTGTTGTATCATTTTAAAGATGTAATTAGATCCTTACATCATCTTAGTCTGCCTATCTTGCTGAGTTCAATTCTAATAATCATAGTGATTGTCTTGTATTATTTTCCCTTCGATAATAAGCTTTTCAAAACAAAATAAGCTTCAAAATCACATGGTAACATTGTGATAAAATTTATAGAAGTCTTAGGGCTATGACACAAAGCGATTTTGACTGAAGCGTTTAACGCAGCTTTTTTTCTGTAGCTAAGACACTGCGGTTTCACTAGTGGTATTGTGTCTGTCTTCAAAGGAGCCGACCAGTATCAATCAAGTCATTTACCTATATTATCAATTATTGTAATGCATTATATTCTATTATTGTTTATTAGTGCAAAGGACAAAGAATATTTCTGTTGTATTTTCGATGGAAAGGAAGAATGGACAAATAGGTGAATATGGGTTCACTCAATTGTGGGGGAAAGATAGAAAAAATGACACTTTAATAATTTTTGCTTGGAATTGAGGAATCATTAATATTGATTTTTCAATTTCACTTGAATGTCAATAAGAATTTTTGATGAATTACTTGGCATAATCAAATACCACATAACTGTTGTCTGAGAACGCTTAAGCCTTATGGAGGCCCACATTTATCTCCGATTAAACAAAACTTTTACAAATGATTATCCACAGCCAGAAGACACATTGAAAGAACATTTGGGATCCTGGCAAACAAGTGGCATATCTTTTATCTACCCATCGATGTTGATATAGATTTGGCTGAAAGTATTGTCAAAAGCCGTGTGTGTACTATATAAGTTTGTTAGAACAAGATGAGTCCTATTGCACAACAAAGGTGAAAATGACTACCAATGGCAACTAATTTCCACTGAAAGCTCCCATTGAGGAAATCCTCGAGCCACTATCTACTAAAGATTAATTTGCCACTTTTTTCTTCTTCTTCTTTTTCTTTCAAGAATGCTTAATTTTTTGCCAACTTTAGTGCCCCCTAGTGTCTAATTAGTAAATAAATACACACTTTAACTTATTATATAATTGAAACAAAAGTAATAAACTTGCCCAGTTCATTCTTTTCTGGTGTTATTTCTTCCTTTCCAAACAAGATGCAAATTTCTTCACAGCTGCTTCCTGAGTAAGTGATTGCTGCATTGTGTTTTTCATGTGCTACAGAATTAATTTTTCTAAGTCAATTTTTTGCATTTTGTGAAGAAAGAACAATTTAAAAAAACTTGGCAAGTTAGAAGTTAGATTCATAGTTGAAAGCTTAGAAAACTGGTTGATGGAATACTATACAACATTTCCATGAAAATCACTTTCACTTCGTCTCATCGACCCACCGACTCGGTTTCAAAACCGCCAGCTGTGTCTGTCATCATACACTCTCTACAAAGAAACAACCCACAGCCTACTTTACTCTTGGCTTTGGTCAAAACTGTTACATGCGTCATAGCCCTTAACTGGTACTTAACTACTTACCTTAGTTTAACAGATGGCCTTCCACAATTCAAAACCCAAGTGCTCTCAGAATTTAGATTTATTTTCTTTAAATACACAATAAAAAATAGTAAAAATTGCTTGTTATCAAGTTCATTCCAAAGGCATGTTTATGTATTTATGTTATTTTACGTTTATTTACATTAAAGTGCATAATTTATTTTTTTAGATGAAATATTAGTTATACTTAAGCAATGGAAACCGAAGGATTGCACAGAACAATTTTATGAAGGTTATTTAAATTCTTCCCTGAGTGTGTTTTTGAGGACGACTAGAGATTTAAATGAAATGAAGAATTTGGTATTTACATTTATTTATTTAGTTTAGTTTATTATTATGTTTTAACTATCTAAAACTTCTAATAGGTTTTAAGCAATTTTAATAAATATCAGGAACCAGTAATAAAGGGAGAAATTAATGAGAATGATGTAACATCACTTTGGAGACACATAGCACCGTATCTCAAGGATGCTCTGAGTACAGCGTACCTCGGGATATATTCGCATGGCCAAGACAGCGGGAAAGAAGTGGAGCTCATAACGAACAAAACGCTCACCACTTTCGACCTTCCGTACTACGCCAAGTACTTGCTCATAGCGGCATACCTTGCCTCTTACAACTCGCCCAAGCACGATAAACGGCTCTTCGTCAAAGACCATGGGAAGCAGAAGAAGCGAGTTGCGAAACGGACGGCCAAGGTGAAAATCGCAAGCGAGCTCCTCGGCCCGAGGCGTTTCTCGTTGGATAGGCTTCTCGCCATCTTCTACTCGATCATGGAAGAGAAAGCTAGTTTAACCGTCAATCTCATGTCACAGGTAAATCAATTAAGCACCAATTTTTGACAGATTGGTCATATTTGTTCCTTTTTAGATTGCGACTTTAGTCGAGCTTAAAATATTGTCAAAGATGGGAGACGGGTGCATCGACAAACCCATGTTTAAATGCCTTGTTGGATTCCAGTGTGTTGATCAAGTTTCAAAGTATGTCTCCTTAATTATAGTTGACCTAAAAGATAAATAAACATGTACTGTATTCCAGGACACTGGGTTTTCAAGTGAAAAAATATATTATGGACTAGTCTACTCATCCATTGATTGTGAGCTATTCTCGTATTCTTTCTTTTTTATGAATTTTTTTATATAATAATTTTAAACTGTACTATAATGTTAGGTTAGTTCAACTTATTCTCAATAAGAGTTGGTCTGCATTTATTAAATAAAGTTGATGGTCATTGGTCTGAAAGTCGGTGAGCACATGTTGAACTGGTACCGCGTCCGACTAAACTCATAAGTTTCAATGTAACTCAAATTTTTATTTCAACTTTGTAAGTAATAAACTTTATTATTATTTATTAAATAGATGTAAAAATGTTCTGAAAAAAATTATTTCTTTATTGGATTTTTGATATGGAATATAGTTTTTGGTATTTCTTTAAGTCTTTTTAATGGCATTGTTGTTTCAACTCCCTTTCCAGCTGGAGCTCGTCCAGGATTCCGCTGATACTGACTTGAAGTGTTTCGGTTGAGAGAGTCTCAGGCCGGCAGAGATTCAGCCAAGAAAATGTCCCCTGAAACCATTTATATTTTACAACTGCATCTATATAATTTAAGGGGGGGAACGCACTGATGTGTTTATCGGCGGGATTGGTTTAAGCTCTTTGTTCCTGTAATTTAAGAATTCGACGATTTCATCGCAGCATATTATGCACTGTTCTCCTTGGCCCAGCCTAAAAACGAAATCGTTTTCATTTTCAAAGTTTTTAAAGGTTGACTTTAATACCTTTCCAGGATCAGCTTGAGGAACTCAACATCCAACGGGACCTTGCAACCCCGTAGGACTGAATAGGCAATGTCTCTCGTCACGTAGCCTGTCTTGTCAGGGTCAAAATGCTGGAACGCTTCCCTGAGTTTGTGAAATTCGATGAATAACTCCTTCCTAAGAATGTCGTGGGCCAATCTCCTGTTCAAATTGTTCAATTTATGAGACAAATCCTTATCAATAAGCTATGTACTATGTGTACAAACACAAATTAAAATTTAGGGTTAAAAAAATCAAATTAATTTTTTTCTCCATCTTTGGCTTATTAGAATTTGAATAAAACTAAAAAATTGCTAATTTTCAAACTTAAAGTGCAAGGTTCAGATTAATAGCAGTTTGATAACAGATTTGGATGCCGCAGCGGTCAAGAGGTTAGGACGTCTGACTCATATTTATTATTTTATTATTTCAACCCCAGCACAGTTTTAATTTTAATTTTAATTTTTAAATTTTAATCGGTAATAATTTATAAAAGGTACTGCACTACTGGTTTGCCCCTTGTCTATGACACCAACAGGTTGTTAGCCTATTAATAAATCCTCTTATACGACAGGAATTACTTCACTTGCAGTGTAATAAAAAGTAATTTCTGTCAAATATGAGGGCTTAACTTCCAACCATCGGGTGACAAGGACGAGAGGTCAGGACCACTTTGCAATACTATTTCTCAAATAAAAGTACAAGGGCAATGCCGGGAGTTGAACCCAGAATCACTAGCATTTACGAATAGAACACCCAACCATTCGGCAAACTCAATAGTTAAACGAGTTTCATAAAATCTAAATAAAGTTTCAAAAAATATGCGCATAAACGTGACTTATTTGTTTGAGACATTTTTTCTTAATCTGATAATAAAACTAAATGACAAACCATCTTATATCTCTAATTTGGCTTTATATTATATTCTACATAAGTCCGTTTGATTATTGTACTATAAAATTGACTTACTGCAATATTTCCAAGGGATACGGTTCTTTTTCTATAGTGTGCCTGAAGTACCTTCCAATAGTAATAATTTCCTGATCCGTAATTTTATCACCTATTAATGCTTTGACAGCATTTCTGGGGGGAAAATAACAAAAAAGGTCAAATTTCATTTTGGATTTGCTCAAATTAATTGACCTACCTGAATGTAGCATAAGGTATGGGTACGAAGTTGTCTCCTTGGAGGAATTGAGACGCAAACTGTTTGTACACAGGCTTCACAGCCTCTCTCAGCTTGTCCATCACCAGTCTTATGTTGCTCCTGGGGAACTAAATCATCAGAGAATAACGGCATTGGATGTAATATGTATGCGGTTTACCTTATCGGGATGCTGTTCCATATACTTGAGCGCATACTCGTCAGCACCATCGAGGTAAAATGTAAAGTCTTCGATGATAACTATGTTCCCGATGAAGAGGTCTTCGTAAGTGACATATTCGTGGGGCTTCGTCCCGTATATGTTCTGCCCATGTTTTAAGACTTTTCTCCTTGCGATCAGCTTACCTCCCGTATAACCTGTAAACAAAATCATAAGCTTTTTTTTAGGTATGGGATTATGAACCTTCAGCTTGGTCTTTTCTGGTCATTTTCAAGACGTAAAGTACTGTCATATTGTTGGGAGATGCGGACATGGAGCCAAACTGTTCTGAATTAAAAATCTATGGGATTCAAACCCAGAACCGCTCGTGTGGCAAATACAATTTGGACTCACTAACCACTCGGCCACTGAGGTCCTGTTCATTTTCATAATATTACACTACAACTTTTATTGTTGAAGAATCACCTGAATTTCTTGGCACGTGATCGTTGATCTGTAAGGTGTCATCACAAAGAAAGTACGATAATATGAACTTGCGCCTGTTCCCAAGCTCATTGTTGCTAATCATCCTGGCTGAAAAACGTAGAATTCTGCTGTCGTAGCCAACCCTAGAAATTACAATTAATTGAATTTACCTAAAAATCAATTTTTGATAGTTAAAAAATAAAATAAAAAATAATTCAGCCTAAAAGAAGATAAATCATATGGGGGGGGGGGCTCACTTTTATTAGCGGAAACCTATACTAATATATGTAAATTCCCATTTAATTTTCTTTAGTTTACAAAAGATGAAGAAATTAAAGTCTTTCCAAAAAAGTGAGGGATAATAATCAGAGGTTTCCTTTAAAAAAAAAAATTGTTTGTAGCTCAGTCATTTATGATCATTTTCGCCTTGCTGTTTTGATCTGCCTAATGCATTTTGGATTCTTGCCATGTTCAGGTCACAGACCCAGCTGAAACGCATTGACAGACCAAAATGATCGAAAACAGCCAAACTACAGATCTCAAGGGAAAATCTCACAAAAACTTACTTATCAAGCTCGAAGAACTGTTTGTATTCTTTAACAATGGCAAAAGGATTAACAGATAGACAGTTAAGCAAGGAGTCTTCATAGGTTCCAAATCCGTTGTAAGGTGGTATCGGGATATCTACTTTTTTTGTAGATGCCATTTCCTTTTCCTTGGCCGTCGGCGGCCTAGGGAATGGCCTAAAGTCATCTAAAACCAAAATTTTGATCAAGTTTGTTTACTATTACATATTATACTGAGAAATTACCCATTCCAAACTTTAGCCTGTAATAGTCTTTTGTAAAAGAGTCACAGTCAAAGATGACGAACCTCCGCCCATATGAATTGATCACAGCTCCAATAGCTATGTCCCTGTCCATGTAGTACTGCTTGTGCGGAGTGCCCATTCCAAGTGGGTCTACCACGTACCTCGCCTTGGACCTAACACCACCGAGTACGTTCAACAGGCTCACAGGTTCATCTTCGCCGGGTTGAGGTAGCCCAAAATATTCCTTAAAAACAATATCGTTTTTTCACACAATAATATAAATATATTTCTATTTTAATTCAATCAGAGCTGTAGTAAACTGTGTAAAAATTATATTTTGTTTTTGAACCTTAGGAAGTTTTCCTCTTTTAGATATTAAAAATGTGTGATCAGGGTCTGTGACATCTGAGATTTCAATGGTGTCATCGATGAGATAGTAGTAGATTTTCAGCAAATGGACATAACCGAATTCTGTCTGGCTATCGTCCCAATAAGCATCAAAGGAAAGTATCCTATTGTCCATTTCCAGGAAGCGATTTACGGTTTTCTTCACGTTGACCTTCTTCCTCTTTTGAACATTGTCAATCTAAAAAAAAAATAATAATAATAATAAATAAATTCATTGTGTCATTAGTCATCAGATATTTGTTCCAATGTTAACCTTTTTTCTTTCTTTCATGTATGGGTCTTCGGGCATGGCCATCGGATCAGGGACAGGTATGCCAAGCCTGTTGAGAAATATACGGGTGAACGAGTCGCAGTTGACCAATGTTATATTCTTGCCATATAATTGAAGCTCCTTGCCAATGTTGAAGTCGATGATGTCATAAAATTCGTCATTATGACCAGAATCGGCATACCTAATTCTATGCCTCTTTATCAGACATCCTGGTTAAACAAAACAAAATATACGAATACAAATAACTTCTAGCAAGTATAAATGTAAAAAATGGTAATGCATCTGTATTTTGGTCAGCTCTGATCGTCAGTGCATCAAACCCATGAAAATGATCTATTGAAAAAATGAAGAAGCAAGGATAATCAGAGATGACCAAATTTCAAAGTTACTATTTATTGAATTGTTTCAAATTTTGCACACAGTAGTTTAAATTATTAAATATATTGAGATTATTTACTAGGGTCTGCAGGTTTTTCATTTTGTTCTGGATATTCTTGCTATTTTGGAAGAATGCTTCTGCAGACCAATGCAACAAGTATAGGAAGGCAAAACGATCAGAAATGATCAAACAACAAAAATATGTGTTTCTTCTATGTCATACAATTAATAACATAGTATCTTAGCAGTACAATCATAAAAGTTAAAATTTTCCTAATATCTACATTTCGTCTACTTTGATTAAATCTTCTAAAAAAAAATTATTTTATTTTTTTATTTTTGTTTTTTAACTGCAGGATGATAAACCCTATAGTCCGATCATTTTTGGTCTGTCATTTGCGTTTCAGCTTTGCAGTCTTCAGTGGTGGGCCAGGGTTACAAACAGGATGAGAAAAAAACAAATCAAACCACTACTGAAGATCTGACAGGCAAATTGGCGAGAATTGGCAGACCAAAAATTATTGGTTTTGCTGTCTTCAGCGGTGGGTTAGGGTATAAGCAGGGTGAGGCAACAACACAAACCACTAGATCTGACAGGCAAATTGACAGACCAAAAATTATTGGTTTTGCTGTCTTTAGTTGTGGGGTGAGGCAACAACACAAACCACTAGATCTGACAGGCCAAATCAGTGAGGACAGGCAGACCAAAAATAATCAGAAAACGTCCTAACTACATATTATCATTTTATTAATGTTAAAACATTCTTGTACTCTGTAGTTTGATGATTGCCGACCAATTTTGTTGTCAGCTTTTTGCTGTCTTCAGTGGTGAGTCATCAGAGTATAAGCAGGTGAGGCACCAAACAAATGAACCACTGAAGATTGATAGACCAAAATACTGACGATAAACAGATCAAAAATAATAGGAAAATGACAAAGGTACAAATTTACATTCTTGAACTCTGTAGCTTGAATGTTTCTGATTATTTTGTCTTATAGGGGCCAAACAGCTAGGGTATGCAGACCAAAATGATTGAAAATGATCAAACTACGTTCCTCTTGGATAAATATATCCAGTAATTCCCTAATTTCGTGGTCCGCTTGACCAATTAATACATTACAATTAATTAAGGTTTTTAGTTGAGATGAAAAAAAGTCAATGGCACGAGAGGGATTCGAACCCACGTCGAGAATCCAAACCGATTACACGACATTTGAAAAATGGCAAAAGGAGGGAAAGCTAATAAGGTGGGGTTGAGATGGGGAGTTGATGTCCAAGTGGATCGTCACAATAGCTCAGGTGGTAGAGCGGCGGCGTATCTAGCCGAAGGTCGTGGGTTCGAATCCCTCTCGTGCCATTGACTTTTTTTCATCTCAACTAAAGACCTTAATTAATTATAATATCCAGTAATATTGGATTATTTTGGTCATTTGTTATCAATTTTGTTCCATCAGAAATGTTTAGGCTTTTTGCTATCTGTGGTGAGTCAGGGACATAAACAGGGTGAGACACGAACACAAACCCACCCATGAAAATCTGACAGACCAAAAAAGTTAGGATAGGCAGACTAAAAATGATCTAACTACAAATTTTGTTGTTTAATAAATTAAAACTCATATCCTCCCGGTTTTGAAATTAAAACAAAATCATCAGAAAACGATTAAACTACAGATTAATCACCCTGCAAACTCTCAATCTCACAATGAACTCCGTTAGGCTGATTGAATAGACATAAAATTTGCTATATTAAAAAATTCTTCCCAAAATATATGTTGTGATGGAATATTTCTTAATCAGAAGTTCCAAATGAGGACTAAAATGTGAACTTCATCCTATGACTCACCTTGCGGAGTTCCACTATTCATTTGTTGAGGTTCAATTACTTTTATTGTGCCGTCCTCCAGATAAAATAAGACCTTTACCTTGTGCACCGAATAAGGAGTTTTGAAGTCTGCACAGTCTGCCGATTCCATGTAGTACCCGTCAAAGGCTAAAATCTGAAATGCAATCGTTCGACTCATTGAAATCAGTTTAAATAGACCAAGAAACCGGAAATAAATGTACATGTTTATCATAGATGATCCACGGAGGTAACTCGGAGACTTCCCCTCTGGCGTATATCGACGGGTAGCTGCCCTGATCGCTGCCCGGTAGTGGTACGCCTCCGATGCCCGGTTTCTTCTTCTCAGTAAGATAAGGCACTCCCTTGTGTATGAAGTCAAAGTGGTGTGCCAGGTGGAAACGCGTCTGTCCTACCTAAAAAACCCATTGAGGGCTGTACTACAGCTTTTACCAAGGAAAAACAAAGTACATACATTTGTGTTAACGGAATAGCCTGGGAGGCAAGGCAATTGCACCGTTCTGTTCATCGTCATCGCTAATCCTTTTATTTACTACCTGAATATAGTCAAAGCACCATAATAAACTAAACAGATGATTTAAAAGTTGCCCATAGCGACAGTGAAGAAGGGATCAATATATGATTTTTTTTTAAATTTAATTATTTTTTATTATTATTATTTATTTTTTTAGTTTTTAACTGCTGAGAAAAAGATAAATTTATTTACTATCACCAGAATTAAGCAGTTATAAAAATTAAATTAAACAAAACAATCTGAAAAATCACAAGAAATTATCAATGCAATAAATATAAACGAAGTAAATTTACAAAACATCAATATTATTTATTGACTTGTCTTCTTGATTATTTAACTCATCTGTCAATAAATCTAAATTTTAGCTGTTTCAATCACTGCCCGGCAGTGATATGCCTTCGATGTCTGGTTTTGGAGAGATCCAATATCTTCAGGCCTTAATATTTTTAATTATATGTAGATGTTTATACTTCCATGTATGTGATATGTGCTGTTAACTAAAACGAATGTATTTATTTGCATTAATGGATGGGTTTATTACCAATTACCCTGAGCAATATCAAGTACTCTTGGTAGTGTGAATGTAATTTATTTACATGAATGGAGGGGTTTATCCCCAATTACCTCACAGAATATAAGTACTCTGGGGTAATGTGAAAGTATTTATTAGTGTGAATGGGATGGAATTCTTTGTTAAACTACCCGACGAATATCGGGTACTCGGCGGAAGTGTGAATAAATTGTTGTATGTAATGTAATTTATTAGCGCTAATGGAGGGGTTATTCGTCAATGACCCTGAGGAATATCAAGTGTTTTGGGGTAATGTGAATGAAATTTATTAGAGTGAATGGAGGGGTTTAAACCCAATTACCCAGAGGAATACTGAGCACTCTGGGGTAGTGTGAACACTAACTAGATTTTTTTTTAAATTTGTGTTATTTTATCCACATTTGACTAGGCTGTGAGGTTCTGACATCAGAACTGTTGAGAGGCTAGCAATAAGATAAACAAAAGAGAGAGTCGGTTACCGTTATATTGTACATCAATAAATAGCTTAGGTGGTAAAACGTGAAAAATTAGAACAAATTAAACGCGAGAAATACAAAATATAAAAGAATTAAGGGTTGGTAATGACCAAGTGTTGCTAGCCCTAAAATAAAAATTAAACAAATAAAAAAAAAGTCAATGGTGTTTTCTCAACTAGAAACGACATAACAGACATGTTTAGCAGTTCCAGTCAAACAATAAATTCATGTTGGTTCTTCTTCATTCAATCCAAGTTTTAAAGTAAATGTTATTCCTTTTTTTCTCCACCAGTCACTTTATTACGTTAGCTTCCACAGTAGATGAGTTTCTTTCCTGCCATGATCGTGATGAAAAAATTTACCAATATTCACTATTTTTTACAATATTGTAAAATTACACATTTATATTACAAAAGTTTATTTATTCTGACATCAAGGTTGGCTTGTATAATTTCAGCCATTTTCATTGGATGATATTAAAATTATAGAATAATTTACAGAATTAAAATATTGTGAATAAAAAAAATTTTGTCAAACAATTTATTCAGATGTACAAGGTGTGTTTATTCATATAGTGTTAAAGTCTATGAACAATGTTGAACATAATAAATAAATATTTTGGGATGTGTATTATAATAATTTAAAACTAAATGGAGCTTAACTCTATTTTAAAAAATTAACTTTTAAAAATAGAAAAACAGGCTTGAGGAAACGGCTACAGATTTGGGGAAAAAATTACTTTTTTTTGAAAACAGATAACCTATGTTTTTATTAATTTCCATATGATACAATACAGCTGAGACAGAACGACAAAATAAATTGTGCAAGATAAACATACAAGACAAAGTTTTGTTTATAACAATATATTCCATAAATTAACAATAGACAAAAAAAAAGAGGAAAGTCTAACAAAAAATGGCACAAAGGTAGGGTGCAGATGACGATTTACAACCTGAAAGCCTACAATTTCCAAGCGATCCAGTTTTTGATTTTTTTCTTTCATGGGAAAATACAACCGATGTTAATATGTACAGTTGTACGAAACGTGATGCTGCTAACTGCTGAAATTCATCCGCTTGGAACCTGGTTGAAAAATTAAAATAAAATAAAAAATTAAAAAGAACAAGAACTGATTAAGGTTTAAACTTACTTATGAAGAACGGCTGAGCCAGATGAACGTCTTGAAAAAAAAGTAAGCAAGACCAAGCGCATAGACGATTTTGTCCCTGTTCTGGCGCTGAAGATTGTCCAGCTCAACTGTCATTACCCTGCGATTTAGCTTTGCCAACTGTCTCCTTAGGTGGACAACTTCCTCATTAAGAGTCATCCCTTCAACCGAAGCCACAGAATCACTGTAAATGAGAAAGAAAATTGATTTGATGTTGGATGTCACAAACCTCAGTTTACATAGAGCAACGCTCAGCAAGAGAGTATTAATTTATATGTAAAAGATTTCATTCATCAGAACTTACTTTAAGTTGACGGAGTTGTTGTTAACATGTGACATATCGAACCTCCTGTCCATGTCCTGCTTGCGAGGTGGCATGGAAAAAATTGGCGAAGGTTGGTAGTCATCATGGTAGTAGTTCGAATCAATTGTAATTACCCTGGGAGGTGTCTGTGAATAAAATAAATTGTCAATCCAATCTGACTTAGATAAACCCAGGAAAAGGAATGGTACCAATGACAACCAATGGAATCCCCCACTACCTTGATTTCCATCATCATACAACATATTTTTTTTTTAAATAATGACTGTGTTAAGAACAATAGAGTGGTCTCTGAAATGAACATTTTAAACTCGAGTTAGATTTTCTCTTGAGGTCTGTGGTGTGATGAACCTATTGCTTGGCGTTTATGATTTTGGTCTGACAGATGTGTTTCAGGGTCCAGGGATGTAACCAGAGAAATGACTAAAATACGTATTCAACTTTTCTAAATATTGTATCAAAGTATATAAACGACAAAGTAATATAATTCAAGTTGGCCACTGGCACTGAAGACCGCAGACTAGAGATGACCCAAAGAGCCATGGAAAATAGTGCATAACAGACAAAAAGAGAAACAACGATATAATAGGAAAAGGAAGTATAAGGAATAAGAAAAGCAGTCAAATACTGAAATGAAAATTGAGAAGGTTCATAAGAAATGAAAAAGATAAGGCAAAAATATGCAAAATATTTAGAAAAAGAGATAAAAAAGGAAGAACAAACAAAATAAGATAAAAAGACGTTAAGAGCTGTGAAGGAAATGAAGCCGACTTACAACTGAGAACAATAAAAATCTAGGAAAGCAGCATATACTCATTTTTCACAAATTTCAACATGATTTAAATTTTGTTATTTTCTTTATATTGTAACTGTTAAGAAACGAATAAAGGCTATTTTTATTTATTTGTGTAATTGAAGTGATACAGGAGGGCGTTACATCCAAAGTCTGCTGGGTGTCATGGAATAAGACACTTTATATGCCTTTCTTTTCTTAAGACAAAATTTGCAAGCAGAAACTCTAATATGGCAACTACAAGATTAAAATTCCTTAACAACTTGACCACCACAATTGCGCATTTAATGATTATAAAGTTTTTTCTTTACCAATATTTTAAATATTTTTACTTCTGATAGTGATAAATCATTAAATGTCATGAAAGTGTTCTTTAAAATCGACAGTTTTATTGTTTCCTACAATTTTGGTCTGTCGGGTTGATCTGAAACAACAACACTGCATGTCCAACACTTACTTCATAGAACTCTCACAATTTAAAATCTATATTCAGCAGGGTAAGGTGGTATTTTAATGTTTAAAAATATTTATATTTTGTCAGAAGAAACTAATTTTATTAATTACCTGAACTCTAACGCCTGGGTCAGAAGGAATGATCGTATTGTCCAGGACTATTTCCCTAGGGAGGGCTTTGGTTCCAAAATGTGTTTCTTGGCCTGAAAAAGTTACATTTACAACTTTCCTAACTTTAAAATAAAAGATTATCGGGGTAATTAAATAAAATATTTTTAATAAAAGCATCCTAACAACTCACCCAGATACATAATATTATCCAGATATGGATCCTCTAAGAAATGTCAAAACCCTTGCATGAATCAAATTGTTAAGCGCACGATGAAAGTCAGAACAAACTGTCTCAACTCACCGGCTACGACGATCCTCTCGGGGACATGCATGTCCAGCTTTTCTGCAGGCATCCAGTGAGACTCTGAACGGTTCATGTTGGGCATATCGCTCACTCCGTCGACGTTGATACGCTTGGGAACGCGCATCTTCTGGCTGATTTCAGCGGTGAAATTCGGATCGAAGAAGCGGTCGCTCTCGACTGAATATGACGGGCTGTTCGACTCTGACATGCTCACTCTGGGAACATGACACAATAGGAGTTTTGGAAATACAGCTGACAAAAGTACGAACAGAAATATGTGATGTTCCTACACTTGAACATTCAAATTGTCTTTTCAGTAATAAAATTTGCATTTTTAATAACCCAAAATTATAACACTTTATAAAACAGATGTTAACCTTTTTATGTCCGAATCAAAAAAGCCAAGTTTTGCACAGTGAATTTCCTCTGTGCCCATCCATTTTGTGCAATTGATAAAGTTAAGTATTTTAAGGTGTGTCTGTAGTGTAGATTGTGTATTATTATATTACCTGCTCAAATTTTGTGTAATTAAAAAAAAATTTTCATGCAAATTATTTTAACTTGAAATATAAGCTGTTTAATTACAAAAAACAGCACATTTGTTCGCCAGTTTAAATTATGACATCGTTCTTATATAAAACGTTTAAAAATTATCCCCAAAAACTGTATTTTATTTTATTTTTTTTTTTTTTAATTGAATAGTAAGAAAGTCTAGAAGTATTGAGTTAAAATATTTAGGATACTTAATTTTGTAGTTGTATGAATTATGTCACTACACCAAAAAGTCTCAATAATTTCAATATCTGTACATTATTAATGTTACAACTAAAAATGCAAATGAACAAGTCTTGCAAAATCAAATTTAATAATGTCCAATTTTTTTCATGTTATAAACATTTTATGCGTGAAAGTCTTACTTTATAAAGAAATTAATTGTCAGATTTTCTCCTGTGTACTGCAGTTTCAAGGAAATTATTGTTACAAAACATACTCAACATAATAAGTACTTCTCTAAAAAATATATTTATAATTATGGCGGTTGAAATAATTAATGCTAATTTAACCTGGTTTACAGGCGATCAATCCATTAGCCCATGACTCTAATATTAACTTCGCATTCTCCTTTAACAACAACAAAGAATAATTATAAATTCTCAGCTCTTGAATAATACATATTGTACATTGTACTAAATTGACTTAGATCCAACAGATTTTTGCTCTACAAGGTACTTGATCATTCAAAGACATTTTCCAACTTGGGGGCTGCAGTAGCCAAGTGATTCGTTGGATTCTCAGCTAGTAGACCCTGCGATCGTGGGTTCTGTAGTAGCTAAGTGGTTAGTTAGATTCTCAGCTAGTAGACTCGGCGATCATGAGTTCAATTTCCTCTGTTGCACCTGACCCCCTTTTTTTTAATCGCCCTAAGAGTACATATATACAAATCCTCATTGTTACAACGGTTCATGTCAAGTGCTTTTACCCATGAGCTGGGCGCGCACCTTACATTATAAAAAAGCATTAAGGGGTCCTCTAGGGTTATTCAATTTGAAGAAGCCCAATTTTAACAGTTACTCTTTGGTTGAGCTCCGTTGGCTTTTTAAAATGTGCTGTGAGGTTCTTCAGCTGAACTCAGCCATGTGGAATATGGGTGAGCAGGGCTTCTGTTCATTTTGCAATTTGCATGCACTCGAATCTGTTTTTCATTTCTTGGCAGTGTTCAATTCTGGGTGAGATCTGCTTGCTTCACTCTGTCAAGGGGTGAACCTCTGGGTTTTTTGGAGGATTCAAGATCTAGGCCTATTGGGTTTGTGAAGCAGGCTTGGAACTACAGACACGAGCTGTCAGAAGAATTTAATTTTTGATTTAATTACTGATGTTTATATATATATATATATATATATATATATATATTCCCCCCTTTTTTTAAAGCAGATAAAATTTTCATTGTTATTTTTTTAACAGCGACCTACGGCAGATGGATTTTTCGATCCATTGTCTATTTACGGTTGTTTTTTTTCTATCTGTTGCATTTTGTATGTTGTATCTATTATATATCAGTTTTTCATTCATTCAAGTGCTTTTACCCATGAGGTATATAAGAGACTGTCTGAAATGAATTTCTATAAATTTGAGTCCTTCTTTTATGACGGTACCTTCCACTGAGAAAATGATGTAAATGGAAGGCAGTTTAACAAGTTTATAATAGGACTTAATGTCCAAAATTGCTGCATCAATACCACTGAGAAATTTAAAACCATCTGTGTATAACAACACAAACCCTGAGCTCCTCCCAGTTAAAACCAGTGGTTGTCTGTTTCTTGTTTAATTCTTCTTTGATTATTTATGTATTATTGATAATTCTACCAGCATTATTATTCCATTGGGTTTTTATTAATTATCAGCTTTTATCAATTAAATTCACTTATTAATTCATATCGGTTAATGCTTGACGGGGAAAATTTCACAATATTTTTACAATTGTCTATATTGTTCAATAAGGTTATAAAACTTTTTTTTTTAAATTGAACATATGCCTAGATAACAAAGATAAGGACACGTGGCCAAAAAGTGAAACGCATCTTCTATTGCATAGGAGTTGCACATAGAGCAAGTTCCTTTGAGGGAGATCCGAAGCTTCCTTGTACAAAGAATTTGTATGACATCTATTGACTATGATGTAACTGTTTTTGTATGAACAGCATTGATAATGAGAAGAATGTACTGCAAGCCTGACAAGAGGTTCCATCGAATAATCAGTATCTCAGACTTCAATACAAACCTTTCTTGAGTAACAATTAAATTATTACTGCCAATCTTTCGCTCTTACATATATCTAAAAATTGACATAATTACATTATTAACTGATGGTTTTCAAATTGTTATGAAGACCAACTCAGTCCCAACTTTCATATCAATGTTGGGGCCCGAGTCGACCCAAAACCATCTATTAAAAACTTATTTATATCAATTTTTATTCATATTTAAGCATGTTTTGCCCTGACGATGACCTTAAAATAGGTCAAAAGCTTGGCAGTAACAACTGAAGATGTTTTTTCTTCATCAATACCGAGGATCCAGATTATATGAGTAAAAGTGGTCAACCTAGCACTTTAAAGATTCAGAGACAGGGTGTTGATTCTTCATAAAACAAGACGAAAAGAAATGCATGGCCTTCTTAAGTTGTGTTTTGACCCAAAGATTGTTTGGAGGATGTAGGTTTTAGAAAAACATTTTCTTTATCGTGCCAACGTTTTGATCTTTATTGAGATCATCTTCAGGGCTCAAAGTTTTCTGTATAGATGTGTCATTCTTGTCTGACTCTCAACACGACAGACATATGATCTCAATAAAGATCAGAACTTTGGCATGATAAAAGAAAACGTTTTTCTAAAACTTACGTCACACCAGACTTCATCTCACAATCTCCAAATAATCATCAAGTTACGGTCACTAAACACAACACATTGACCCAAAGATTTTGTTTAAAAAAGAAGATCAAAATCTCATCACATAAAAACGAAGTAAAAAAAAGGTTTAATATTTGAAATAGAATGCTTAGCAAACCTGAAATTTTCTGAGACATCACGCCCCATTAAGAAAAACACAATGAGCTTTTTTGCATATCTATGTTCGCGTAATTATCAAGGAAATTGTATATAAAAAAGATCTTTGTATGTTCGAATGACTTGTAAATTAATTTGAATACTGGAATTCTTGGCTAATTCAAAGAAACTATTTAAATACCTAGATAGACAATTTAATCTATATTCATAAATAGAAAAGGTATAAAGGACTTTTTTTTAAAGTCCCCCTTTCACGACTATCAGGGATTTCTTTTTTAATTGAAAATGCAGAAAAAAACCACATCCACCGAGGAATATAAAAAGATTTTAAACTTGAATGTTTAGCTGACCTGGAATTTTCCTAGATATTCCTTTCCAAAGAAAAATTGACGTTGATATTAAGAGCTTTGGACGATAAAAGCTCAGACCATCTTTCAACAATTGGAGAAGTAATCTTACCTATAACAGTTTGAGAAGGTTTCAATTTGGAAACGACGTTTTCAAGGTCACAAGTCAACCGTCGCTCTCTGAGCCAAATGGACCTTGGAACTTTAGAAAAAAGCTTTTTTTTCCCCTAGACTTCTTAGATTTTTTTCCAACCTGACAATGACTGGCATATTGAGATATATTATTTTGGAAACTTTTTTTCAAACGTAGATATTGTTTCAATGAAACATCGTATTTTTTTGTAAAGAATCTTTTTACACCACATCAGACATCAATCCAAAATAAATTCACCATCATTCCCTTTGTAATTTATTTTAATATATATCATTCTTGATACTTAAAAAATTATCAAATGTTTGGTCTTATTCTGTAAAAAAATTATTTCTTAGTATCTTTAATTATTTCATTACAGTTACAGGTGGCCTGTTAGATTCTATGATGATTGGAATAGTAAGTTTAAAAGGTTTGGATGAGGGATTTTTTTTATTTGTGGATCTGGATTGGTGATGATTATCGTCAAACATTGATGTGAAATGTTGGTACGCGTAATGATCAATTAAATTTAGAATTTTTCTTTAGGCTCATTCCTACCATCATTTCATCCTTTGGTTGCTTCAATCAGTGAATAATGCACCTATGTAATAATTATTCTTTTTTTAAATATTAAACTAATTTTGTTTTATAACGTTATATGAGCTGATTTTTAACCAGACTTTATTCCCTTTTATGAATTTGGAATAGTAACTTCATCACTGATATGAGTAGTCTGTTGAAAGTTTGTTTTCTATTGTTGTAACCGTAGGGGGAGGTTGCAATTCGGTTTTCGTTTCGGCGTCTTAGCTCGGGAAAGAGGCGTCCTCGTTAATTTTAATGTTTTATCGTTTATCCGCCGGATTTCCGCGTCCGGCTTTCGTTCATCCACAATGACAGGACATCCGTGATAGGAGGTGGAAAGATGGAAATCGAGAACCGGGCGCCGCCCTCCACGGACGGCTTTGCCCTGATCAAAGACCTGGCGGAGCACATCTGTTTGGGTCTACCAAAAGGTACTCAAAACACTCCCATGAATAAACAAAAAAATCTTCTTATTTTCTATTTTGATCCAGGAAGTAACAGATTTGTCTGTATTATTCATCTTAAGATGTACGGGCCTTTTTAACAAGGGTTAAATTTAACTGTCAACATTTCTAAGCCATACTTGAGTCCATGTAGTCGAATAATATGTATCCTTAAGTAGTAACCCTTCAAAATGATTTCCAATGTATAATTAGCCTTAAATTGATAGATCAACTGCGGGGAAAAACCACATAATTCATCATCACTAACTTTTAGATTGATGTTAACTAAATTTATCATCAGTGAACCCTATATCAAAATATGAAAGAAAAAATGGCCGATTATACGACGGATTGATGAATTTTAAATTTTTTTTGTGTTTATCCAAGGTAACTGGTAAAAAAATAATAAAACAAACCTATAACATTAAAAAAAGGAAAAAACAAAAAAGCATTACAAACATGTATTAATCTCTTAAGAGAAAAACTTCAACATTAATATGAGGTCCTCCAGAAAGTTCTGTTGTATTGTTTTGGAGTGGGGATAGGAAAAAAATTATAAATTACTCTCTTACCACCAGAAAAAATGTTGAAAAAAATCCTTATTTTTAGCAGTCATAAAAAAATTCAACATGGATTTGTGATTTAGTCGGTGCTTAAATTTTTTCTGCACAAAATCACTGAGGGCTGTGTAAAGGTGATTTTCTGTCGGCGATAGGCCTGGAGAATACGTAGGATGTGATAGTTTCCACGTCGAACGTTCTATTAATATTTCCCTCGTTATGTTGATACAGTGTCATCTTGAAGGGGCAATGGGCCTAATTAATTAACCAAGATCAAAAGTTTTGAATGTAACAAGTGCAGTTACCAGGGATGGTTTGACCTGGAGGTAAATCTCATTGTGACATTATAGAAAATTGCGAGTAAAACCTCTTTCAGGCGGAGGTCAGGCTTAGGAAATTCCTGATAAAAATGAAATAATTTAATACTAATTCCCTTAACATGGAAACAGCTGACTGTGACAGGTCCTCTGTTGATCCTTTCTTTGTGCCCGTGTTGGAGAACCATGGAATACCTCAGCAAAACAGTGGTGATTGTCTAAGTACTCAGACACATTGGTTTGGACAGTGCCAACTTCCCGACTTAATCACTGCAATCTGCCCTCTAATGAAAAAATGACATTAATTAAAAGAAGTAGCAGAGTCGGTAGGCCTCAGAGGAAATGACTCATAGAACAATTATCATCTTCACATGATTAAGAATAAGCTTTGTGAGGTTGATACACTGACACTTTGTCCTCCATGTAGAGAAAGGTTCGTCCTAAAGTATGCCATTCCATTTTTGGAAAAAACCGAGCTGTTTTCCTGTATATAATACTTTATACATATCTTATCATGTGTTTCTTTATGAGTGTTGACACTGAAATGGAATGTAGTGTGAGAGGGCTGATGGTGGAATATTAAATACCCTCAGTTAGATTAGTATATTTTGCTTTGAGGGAGATGGAATCAAGTATTCCACCACCATAACTGAGTGAATGGTACGTAAATATGTAAAAATTGGTTTAAGAATGGTGAAAGCGTTTTGATTTATAAACTGATTGTGGGGTGCTGAACTTTGTGTTGTTAACGCCTGGAACCCGATCTTGGTGGTGTGACGGACAAGAGCGTGTTTTTGCTCCAGTGGTGGGTTTGTACTGCTTATAACTCTGACCACATTTGAAAGAGTAAAATTTCTTTTCACCTAAAGCATTACCTGAAAATCCCTGAAAATCCTTTTTAAGTATCCACTTAAATATACAGGATAAATAATATAAGAGTACTATGTCTACTTTGATAAGCCTGTAGTTTGGGAGTTTTTGAAATTCCTGGTCTGTCTTGCTGTTTTGGTCTGTTACAAACTTTTAAGCATTTCTCTATGTCTAGTTGTGGGCAAGTATTTGGCCTCGCCCAGGTTATAACCCAGACAATGTCTTCTAATCCTAGTATCCTTGTTCATAAAAATCTTTCTAGTATATTTTATAACATTAATCCTTTTAATATGCTCCCACTTTGATTTATGTCTAATAAGGCTGCAAAAATAGTTTACAATAAAAAAATTAAATTGTAGGATATCTTGAGGCCTATGATATGCAATTTGTTAGTTTCTGATTGTTGTCTGAGCTTCTCACTATGTTCAACTAAGGAATTTGAAGAAATATTTTACTCTTTATGGAAAAAAAGATTAACAAGCACATGATGGCAGCTGAGTATGTGTGTATGAGTTAGCACTAATTCCTCAAATTAAAAAAATAAATAAATAAAATCTCTTAGAATTCTAGCTTCATGGTGATATCAGTTAAATTACCATTAATGATATATTATCATTAAGCCCTTAATATACCAAAGTTTCATTTTAATTGATCATTTAAAGTGAACACTCATGTATTTTATTAAAAAAACTATTGAGGGCATTCCCAACACAACACGCAAGAATGGCACAATCACACAGAAGACAAACACTTTGAGCCCTGAAGATGATCTCAATAAAGATCGAAACGTTGGCACGATAAAGAAAATGTTTTTCTGAAACCTACATCACACCAGACCGCATCTCACGATTTCTGAATAAAAAAACTATTACCTCACAGAAACTGCTTACTTTAATTACTTTACTTATATCTAAGCTGTGTTAAACAGTTTCAAAAATGAGTATATTATTTGAAAACATATTGTTTATACTCTTTTTGCTGTTATAGAAGCAGAAAAGGCAATTTTCAAGCAGGCGATAATGCAGTATTCGGCATACTGCGCTACTGAAAAAAGGCCTATAATCAACGAACTGTCAGAGGCGATGACATGCCAGATGATTGAAAAGCAACTTGAGGCACTTAATAAGGCCAACAAGGATATCGTTCAGTTTCACAGCCTGTACAGAGTCCTTCGTCAGAATGAAGTATGCCTTACCAATTCAGTGTTCCAGTTCAATCGAAAAAAAAATTATATATATTTTTTATTTTTAGAACACGATAAATTTGAGATACCGTTGCAACTTAATGCATTTGTTTCTGTGCCTAAGCGAATTAAATGATTCGAACTTGAAAAAGAAATTTTCAAAGTCACCATTGACCCAAGAGCCGGGTGAAGACCTGAAGAGACTTATTTCTAAAAATTGCTCTTCCACATATTTTAAAGATGTCAGTCGAAACGACAGACCTATTCCAAGATCGTCTTCTGTCGAGTTGAGCAAGAAAAGTAGCATCGTCCGTCCGACAACGCTGCAAAGTCATTCCTTCAATCGAGGTGATCCATTTAAATTAAAATAAATTTAAAAATTAACATAACATTATAATTAAATAATTTTTCAGAAAGCCAGAATGATCTGTATTTGTCAGAACGAATTGATAAAAGCTCAAGTTCTTTCACGTTATCAAGCACCAGAGAACCCAAGCAGACATCGCTGTCTCTCATGTCGGCAGCTCCTCCTCGTTATTTGAAAGGTAATTTTTTAATTATTCAAAAATAATTCGTTTACATTGATAACTGTTACAGCACATAGATTGAGGATTCCTGAGTGCAAAGTCGTTGAAGATCTTCTTGCCTGCTTCCAAGGCATTCCGAGCACATTGTTCAAACTTGACCATCAGCAAGGCTTTGTGATAGATTCAAAAGTAAACTTTTTTTAACCACCTTTTTTTATGTGTCTGTATTAATTAATTTATATTATTTGTAGGTCACTCTTCCCCAGGAAGGTCTAGTGTTGAAACTGATGGAACTCGGCTATCTGCACAACTTGATTGTCACTCAGAACAAATTGCTGTCTAAGAAGGGCGCAGTGGCTCAGGGCGTCCTCGCAACTGTTAAAAAGATGCTCACAGACTATTACAGGGTTATTGGCAATATTCACTCCGAGGTATGAGAATGACTTGTTAAAAAAAAAAAAAAAAAGATTTGTTAATTTGTCGATTACAGCATATAAACTCTTCAAGACGTGTTGATGACACACCAATGTCTGATATCGACGACTCAGCCACCATAACAATCCGCCGTCTTGTATATCTAATGCACGAACATATCATGCGACTCAAAGTGCTAGCGGATGTAACTAAAATCGTGTCGACGGGGCGAGGTGGTGACATGTTGAGCTCACTGAACGTACTGAGACATCATGGAAACCCGGCTATTAGAGTTCCTATATCAGCCATAACTGCCGGGGTATGTATTTTGTCACTTTTTTAAGTTCTTTCAGAAATTATGACCGTTTGCTATTTATTTTCAGGCTGGGAAGCCCGTCGTGAACATGATAATCACTTGGATGGTCGAAGGAGAGCTTTTCGATCCTTACGATGAGTTTTTCATTGCTAAAAATTCAAGTTGCCACGAAAAAGACATTTGGAGGGATAAATTTATACTGCGGTAAATTTTTTGTAAATAGTTTTTGAACAGGAAAATAGTTTTATTTTATTTATTTTTGCTTTTTTAGCACATCATTGATTCCTTCCATGATTAAACCATATCAAGCTCAAAATATATTGAAATCAGGAAAAGCTATCAACTTTTTAAATGTTATTTGTAAACAGCGAATCCCGATTCAAGGGCTTAGGGCTAAATTAAATAAAATGAGAGGTATGTTGTCACATTCGTAGTCATAAGATTTCTATTTTTGTAAGCAAACATCACTTGCAGACTATTATTAATGTTAAAGCTTAAAATAAAATTTAAATATATATATCTTATTATTTATCTTATTCAAAGATAGGAATGATCGTCTACTTTTATTTTTAGATCTCCTAATCTTATTTCACAGTCACATTATAGGTTTGGACATAAATTTTATATATAAATTAATAAAATTGTGTTTTTATGTTAGAATGCAATATAATTGACTTTTCTGACATCCGGAGTGAATTGTACGAACTTATTTTCCTTGTGGCCGAGGAGAACTCTAATGAGGTGCTTGAAACTGTCAAGAACAAGTTCAAACTTTTCTTGCACTTCCAAGGTCTGCGACGATATATACTGCTCGGCCAGGGAGACTTTGCCAGCTACTTCATGGAACTAGTCGAGTATGTCTTTCTCATCGTTTTCTTATTTATTAATTTATATTAATTGTTAACTTTGATTTGTAAGGCCGGAAATGAAACAGCCTGCTTCGGCCGTCCACTATCACGAGCTCTCCGAGAAGCTCCAGACGGCGATCAAGGCAACCACAGCCGCTCACGAAGATCCGGATATAATACAGAATGTATCGGTGAAGCTGCTTGTTGCATCAGGCGGTGACTGGGGCTCGGACATATTTGGTCTACAGTACTTCATGGATGAACATCTTTCAGCTGTAAGTAAATCATTACAACCTAGCTATTAATATAGCCAATAAGTAATATTTTATAAATAACTTCCATAGGCAATAAAAATTATAATAATATAGTTTTTCCTTAAACTTTCACCACATCACTGCACCTTCTTTGTAGATAACTTTCTCTACTGTGTCCATTTTGAGGTCATAGCAGAGGTCTTAATTTCTGATCTGCCAGGGAGTAAATATTATTCAAATGAACATAAACATAAAAAAAAAGCTTCATTTCTAGGCATTCCGGCTAAGTGAGGGCGCCTACAGTCACTTATTTAACTTTTTATGGAGGACAAAACGTATGGAACATAGACTACTGCTTCTAAGGAAGGAACGTTGGGCTACAAAAAACAGTCTTAATTGGCTAAGTGAAAGGTTTAAAGGTAAGGTGAATGAAATACTTCTGAACAAGTCTGTAGAGCTGATTTTTTTTTTTTTTTTTTTTTTTTTCAGACATAAATATCGTTCTTATGTTGACGGATCGTCTAGCCCAAGAATTTCTCCATTTCGCAAGGCAGTTCCATTACTACATACTCTTTGAGGTTGTTGAATGCCTGTGGCAGAAGTTCTGCCAGAACTACCAGAAGGCCAAATCGTTCGATGACGTAATCAAAGCGCACGATGATTTCATAGAAGAAATGCAGCAAAAGACATTCCAGACAAAATCAAAAGTAAGTACACCTTATACAAAACCCGAAACATTTTTTTTAATAAATTTTCTTCAGGCTTTTATTAACGAACTCCGCCTCATCTGGGACTTGGTCCTTGAGCTGGAAGTACTCGAAGACAGATTCTTCAAGCGAGTCGCCATCGAATGTGACCTCTGGAAACATCACGAGACCACTATAGAAAAAATCGGCACTAACTTCACCCAGGAAATGGAGTTCAACACAAAAAAGAAGGAGTTCAAGTCGTTCCTCTCTTCCATACGCGCACAATATAGCATCATCAATCGGAACTACCAGGTATTTATTATTTTAGGCTCTAACATCTCCCCCATCCTTTTTAGTATATACACTAATGGCCTCTCTGACTCTATCCAGAACTGTAATTACCATCTTTATGTAGATGATCCCAAATTTACATATCCTTACGTCCTTCAGAATACACAATTGGCCATCCTAAAGATCCAGAACGACCTTAATTCCTTTAATGAATAAACCCATAAAAATCCCCTTAACTCAATCTAAGTTTTTGGCCATAATCATTGGATCAAGACTTCTCCTCAAATTCTTCCCCACTATCCCTTCTCTTACTATAAATAACCATCCTCTTTCGTACCCTCTGTCAAAAACCTTGGGATTATCCTCGACCAAAACCTCTCCTAACACCCTACATTTCCCACTGCTGTATAGTCTCCTTCTACCTATTCCTTCACCTCCTTCTCCAACCATAAACTCCTAGTATCTTCTCTTATCTTTCCTTTCTTCAATTGCAGTTGTGTGGTATCAGGAGGGGGGGGGGCTCTCGGAGGCAGAGCCACCCCTCAGGGGTCCCAGGTGTCTCGTCTGTATTCAGATCTTTCCTGGCTCTCCCCTTCCCTCAGATCTCAGTACTTCCTCGGATCCTTCCTTTTTCAGTGTTTTCATACCTGTCATCCTCAGTACATCATCCAATCCCTCCAATTCAAATCCTCTCACCACTCATACAAAACCCACTTCAAAAGATGCTTCCTGATCTGCGTCCCAAAACTCTAGAACTCCCTCCCTCATTATTTTCGTCAAGCCACCTCTTTTAATTCCTTCAAATCCCTCCTATATAATCACGTCCTCTCCCTTCAGAGTCGTTTTCTTAAATTTTTATAAAAAATTGTAATATTTTAATTTTAATTTTACTATTTTTTAGTCTGTTTGTCAGTTTATTTGATTTGTATGCATTGATTTTCATTCCAATTTTCCTGCCTTAAGTTATTTTAGGTTGTTCTCACTGTTCTATTTTGCACTTTATGATTAGCAGAACTTCCGTCCACTTAAACCATTGTATTATTCTAAAGCTGAGTGCACTCTAAGTCTGTGGGGGAGAGCACTGCGGCGTGGGTCGGAATTGTGAAGGACACACTACCTAAGAACCACTCTTGGTCTCGTTGGTCGAATTTTCCCCTTCCATCTGACTAGCAGTTTCGTGTTGATTTTGCATTTGCAGGAGTCCCCACGTGACAATACTTGCATTCATAATAAAAAGTGACGAAATTATTTTTTTGGCTGCGGTCATAGAGTTGGAAGAGAAAGAAGAAAGGCAGAAATGAAAACAAAAAGCATGGGTACTTGAAATAAACACCAAACTCTTTAAGTTTGGAGAATATCTCCATTAATTTAATGATCTTGTTTGCAAACTTATTTTGAAACAATGCTACTACTATTCCAAATGTTTGCTTCGTCTTTACAAATGTGGTGTCTGAGGGCAGTTGAATATACCCGAACTCAACAATTTCCGACCGCCGTGGTGCACACTAGGTATGTAGGGTGGTGCGGCACGGCACGGCCCCGGCTTAAGGAGACACTGTCCCTGAAGATTTTTTTCTTATTCTTTTTATTTTCAATTTTAAGAACATCTAACATTTTAATACACAAGTGTTTTATTTGTTATTAGGAGGTTTTAAGAAGATTTCTCTTGGAGCTATCATCGCAAAAGGACCATGAGCTGCGCCTGTTGAGTGAGCGGATTGACTACAATGAACACTATAAGAACATCGATGCTCGGATTTCTGAGTCTATGAAGTACTCCCGGTGCAGCGACCTTTTCCTCTAATGCCTCATTTGATATTCACCCTTCTCCCATTGTAAATAACCTAATGTGCCAAGTCATTTACCATTTGTCGAATCTCCGAGCAATTAGCCATATTCGTCATCCGTCTTCGCACATCTGTATATAATAATTCAATTAATTTTATTTAGTTTGTAGATTTCACTCTTCCATTAAAATGTTATTTGTAAGAATAATTGTTATTAATTATTAATGTTCTGTTTTGTTAAAACGATGTCTTTCACCTGTAGAGTTTTGAATATAAATGTTTACTGCCAATTAATAAAACTGTCTTTTGTTTACTTGTAAATCGCAAATTTTCATTCAAATTATGGACTTTTATTTTACTCTGACTGGAGGTCGATAAAAATAAATAAATGTATAGTAAGAATACAATAATGTAAGGATATTGTGAACAAGACAAGACTTCTATGTGGTGATGGGATATCAGTGCCATAGGAATATCGAGAACTCTGCCATGACACTGAGACAGGTGGAAGGCGCGCATACCAGCCGTGGTTTGGTGGTTCCTGGGTGGGGAGCATCTGTACATGGCTCTCAAAACGACCTGGTTGCCTTGCCATGGCATGCCACTCAATTACAGATTGGTGGGCGTCATGGGATGTGTGTATCTGTCGCGTTCTGTCAGTTCAAAGCAAGGTGTATATGACAACATGGGCTCTCTAGCTGCGGTGTTGTACCAAAACTTATTGGCTCAACTCATGGTTTTAGCACCACAGAGGCCTCTTCTACCCATCAGTCAATGTTTTACAGTGGTGTTCAGACAGTATTTTGCTCTCTGCTCATACCATGAGGTGGTTTTTACCATTGTTTTGAGTGATTTTACTATTGTTCTTTGTAAATTGAATTTTATTCGCTGTACAGGATGGATAAAATAAAGAAACCCCCTCATACAGTCCATTGAAGAAAGGACATCATTGTAAAATTGAACAAATTCTCTTTGTCCTTTAATTGAAGCCACAATGTGTTAAAAAAAACTTCTCTGAACACTCTGATAATGTTTGATGGAAATGCGCCTTTTCCTTTACTTATTTTTTTCTTCGCCGACTTCATTGTTCATGTCTGGACTTGATAAAATTTGAAACTGCCGATGATGGCCGAATGGCCTAGTGATGTGTTGAACCCACAACGTTGAACATTGGGCGTGCTCATTCATTTCGACATTGGTCCAAGTTTGAACGTTTTTGCACGGTTGTCGAGTCAACAAAAAAACTGCTCGGTGTAAATTGACCCTAATATTCAAATAACACTTTTTTTGTGGTGATAATTATAATTAACAATTAGCTGAAAATAAGACAGCTAGTCCGCGTCCAAATGTCTTCTTAAATCTGAAGGTTGTTTTTTGCGACTCATTGGATAAAAAGACTTGATATGTGCTTTTCACAGTATAAAATATTTATTTTTTAAAACAGAATAACAACTTTTGAAATAATAAAAAATATAAAATAAATAATTTGAAATAAATATTAATTATATTAAATTATAATCTGACCTATGTATTTGCTAAGGAGACAAGATGATGCCACAACCTAATTTATTTCGCAAATTTAAATTCGGGGCGACTAAAATTGCTATATGACGTGCGACTTTTGAACAATAACTATAATATATATAAGTAATTTATATACACGATACACACTGTAAAAGAGATTAAAATTTTCCTTACGGTGATAATAACGACTAATACTTTATTTAAAACGACTCCACCTGAAAGAGATGAAATTAATTTAAGATTTAACTGAAAACTATCGACACCAAAAAAAAAATCTTACATGCACTTAAAGAGGCATTTCAAAGTTGACGTCGAGTTTGGCAGACTTGGCAAGTCCGATGATGGACGAGAGTTTGACGGCAAGACGTGCGGCTTCATCGAGGTTATCACAAGGTAAGATTTTCATTCCAGAACTTGCGATCAACACTTTTGCATCATCTACATTTGTACCCTGTAAGAATGATAAAAAAATTAATAAAATGAGGTAAAATAACTGTTGAAGAATTAAAAGTCTAATTTATTACCTGGAGACGGCAAATGATGGGGACTTTGAGATTGAGCTCCTTAACTGCAGCAATGATCCCCTCGGCGATAACATCACACCTCATGATGCCGCCGAAGATGTTGACCATGATCACATAGACTTTTGGATCGGCAGTGATGATCTTAAAAGCTTCTTTGACTGCATTGGCCGTTGCTCCACCTCCCACGTCCAGGAAATTGGCTGGCTCGCCTCCGTGCAGTTTAATGATGTCCATAGTCGCCATGGCCAGACCAGCACCGTTGACCAGACATCCAATTGAACCTATTTTCAAATATTGTTTCCTCGTTGGTTGTTTCAAGGATTAGGATTCTTTAAGATTAAATTATTACCGTCAAGCGCAATATAGTTCAGATTGTATTTAGCTGCTTCGACTTCCTTGGGGTCCTCCTGTGTCCAATCCCTTAATTCAAACAGCTCTTTTTGCCTGAAATCGGCATTATCATCAAATCTAAATTTAGCATCCAGACAAAAATCTGTTGAAAACAAAAGAAAACTATTAAAACTTGTTTATAAAAAAAAAATACACTTTTAAAAATCAGTAAGTACAAGATCCAGTTGTGTCCTCGGCATAAGGGTTGACCTCGATAAGGAGAGCGTCCTTATCTAAGAATAGCTTGTAAAGATCCAGTAGCATTTTTGATACTTGCGCTTTCTTGTCACCAAGTCCAACCTTTTCAGCGATCTCCTCTGCATCAGCCCTTGTCAAACCTTCAAATATATCCATAATATATTAAACAATAAAAGTTATTATACATAAAAAATTTAAAAAATACCAGTAACGATATCAATAGGGGAGTACAAGATAGCATCTGGGTTTTCAGCAGCGACTTCCTCAATGTTGACTCCACCCTGGGACGAAGCAATGACAACAGGACCCTGCAAGGCGCAAGTTAAAAAAGGTTCATAAATTACCCGGTCGGACGACTTACGCTGAATGCTCGCTCCATCATAATAGCAAAGTAGTACTCTTTCCTTGGGTACTTCCTCTCTGTCACCATGACCGAGTTGCAGATTCTGCCTTTCTCACCAGTTTGCTTCGTGATCAGATAGTCGCCAATCATCTGGCCGGCGATATCCTCGGCTTCTTCTGGCCTGTAAGCCGTCATAATTCAAATGTGGTACAAGAAAGAAAAACCTGAATTACTGAAACCCTGAAGCCTATTTTTGTCACACCTGGACTGCAATTTTAATAAAATACCCCTTGACAATAAATAAAAACTATTTTTTAACTTCATTGAATTATTGCAATTAAAAATAATCCAGTTCTATAAAGATATGAAACCATCAATTTTAATAAAAACTGTTTGTACATTTTTTTTTTTTTTTTACAAGGCAGTTTAACGAAAACAAAATTATCAGCCTTGAAATTTTAATGTAATTATTCATTCCTGTTTTTATTTATTTAAAGGAGTGGCAGTACAGTGATATCAGGCATATTTTTTAATATTACTGAAATTTTTTTACGTAACTTCAACAAGCAGATTGCTTGTTTAATTAATGTAAATAAATATTGAATATCAATAACAAACAAATAACAAGCTCATTTAATTAGAATTATTTTGTTAATTATATTTGCAATTATTAGAATATAATTAATTCTTTTTTTTAAGTTTAAGACAGACTTGTTTATTTCTAAGGCCTATTTACTTCTACGATAACATTTTTGGGCAAACAATTGCTGTACAATGAAGGCAAATAATAATCAGATAAGTGATAATTTACATAAAACATCGTCAAGGCCCTGGCAAACTACTGAAACCTATTGAAAATTTAATTGAGGGTGCAAAGATTACAATTTCACATCAGGCCCCGATAAGAGGGGTATAGATAAACTGTCAAAACGATGATTAGGCTTACGTGAAAACCATTCGGACTCCGCCCTTCAGGCCGCCCCTGAAGTGGCCTCTGCCTCGGCCACCTGCGAGCACCTGCGCCTTCAGAACGATGTCCTTGATGTTGAGCTTCCTCGCGATATCGCCGGCTTCCTGTTTTGTTTTGGCGACGCCAAATTTCGGCACAGGGATTCCAGCGCCGGACAGGAGCGTGTAGCTGATGTGCTCGTGCACATTCAGGTTCCGCTTCTGATCCAAGTTCCATGGAGAGCTGACTGACAGTATCTAAAGTTTCCATAGACAATTTTGTACATGGCCGGATGCAAGAGCTTTTTGTGAAATACTTTTATAAGTTATTGGGTGCATAAATACATGGGAAATACTTATCAACATTCTTCACTAAAGCAATGTTAAGGTTTAATATTTGGGGGAAAAACATTGTTAGTTAAAAAAATGAGAGTATTATGAGATGTAATAGTGGAATATATAATACTCAACCCAACCAGTTTTACAGCAGTAAGAATTTTTTTTAGGATGGAATTATTTGAAAACTAAGCTAATTAGTATAACAGAAATACAAAGGATTACCAACTATTGGAGAATTAAAAATAAAACATAGAACTTGGCTAGTTTTCGTAATATTTAGAGGCCAAAACGTTAAATGTTGGTGTGCCAGTTTTAGTTTGAATAAAACAACCTGGCTCACATAAAAAATTTAAAAACTTGGACTAGACCCCTAATATTTCTGAGGAAGACCATAAGATTTTGAAAATGCATTAAATTGGACATGATAAATAGCTAGGTAAAAAAGGTAAACTATATGAAAAAGAAATAGGGTTAATAATTAATCATTATTTTTATCAAGGACCTTTAAATTGTCAATTTCATTTTTTTTAATTGCTTAAAATTTGTGATTTATGGGCATAAGTTTTAAAGTAAACTGATTTGACTTAAATTCTAATCTAATATTTTTATCTGTAAGTATTGTTGTTATAAATAGCATGGAGTTAATTTAAAATTTGCTTCTCATATTGCCTAAAAATATCCTGTACAACTTGTGTGTCCTTTCAAATATCCTCTTAAATTAAATAATCCTCCCCTCTTATCTAACAGAGCGGTTCTTTTGAGTCCGACAAGGATCAGATTACTCCGAATACTGCTCTTTGGCCACGGGAGAACCACAGGGCAGTGTGCTCAGACCAATCCTCTATATACTTTATACTGCAGATGTTCCATATATTCCAGCACTAAACCCATCACCCTTCTTGCAACTTTTGTACTATCCTCTAACCCAGATCCTCCGGTTGCTTCTGTTGAGACATATCTGTCATCATACTCTTGAATTGCAGAGACATATCACGTGTACAGCTTATTGGTTTGACAATGGAAAATGAATATAAATGATAGTAAATGTCCATAAGGGGGACCGTGGTTAAGGCACCAGACTCTCGGCTAATCCCGCAGTTGTGGGTTCAATTCCCACCATCACCTCTGGACTTTTTTCTGATTCCTAAGGGGACCAGTGGCTGCAATTGAAATAAGTAGACACGGCACTCATAAATGGAAGGTCTGGGGCGGGATCAGTTCTCAGTGACTCTGAATTTGGTCCTGACCCCCTTCAAAAATAAGTTTCTTCAATGGAACCGAGGGATCAAATTCACATGCATGTTTGCGAGCTCCTAAAATTGGAGCCAGGAAGGAAATACAATAAGCTGTACACCCCAATACTACCCTCCCTCCACAATGACTTTAAAATTACATTTACAAGATCTTACATTTTTATAAAACATTCCTAGACATAAAATAGTCACATTAAATAATAAAGTTGTTCCTCTTCTAGTTGTATTTTTAAAGAAAAACAAAATAGCAACAAAAATACATGAAGCAAAGGCCATCAAGAAGTAAAGAATAGAGACTAAAGTAAGGGGTTCAAAAAAGTAGTATACATTCTAAAGTTTCTCCTGTCCCTTGTCCAAATTTAAATCAAGTAAGAGCAGAAGGTCAGATTCTAGAAGTTGTTCAAACACGTCTGATTTTTACTCAAAAGGACAAAGCCCTGGGAGACACCGTAAGACACATCCTGGCACTTCAAAACACACATCATCATCTCGGAGTAGATCACACACTATAAAAACATGACCAACTATTCAGAAGCAGATCTCCTTCCTAGTCAGAAAAATCAAAAATTTTCAGAAAGCTTGCCAGAAGATAACAGCTTGCTAGAAAGTTGAATGAAGCTGCAATGAAAGCTATGACAGAAAATGATAGATCCAGGGAGATAAGGACTTTCAATGAACTGCCACCTGATGTGATGCAGTTTTAAAATATATCAACTAACGCTAGCATTGCACAAGATTTTACACCAAACGCTCAAAAACGAGCTAATAATGCTACTTATTTGTTTATTTTCAACTAGCAATAGCTTTAGGGGACCATGGTGGCCAAGCAGTTAGGGGGCCTGGCTCATATTTGTCAAGTGGACCTGGGTTTGAATTGTGGCACAGCCCATGCCTTTTTAGTTGAACATAGTATGAAGGAAGTATAGGAAAAAGAGGTCTGACCCTTCAGAATGACACCCAATGGGTAGTTCTTTTAAGCCCTCTGTAAGACAGGAATTATTTGACTGTTTTACTTTATTTATTTAGGACCTTTTTGAAGATCATGGATCAATTTTAAGCTTGTCTGTATTTACAGCTTTGGTCATTAATGATCATTTTGATCTACCTATTCTGACTGTTTCGTTCTGTCAGACTGTGTTTTATTTTCTGTTTGTCCATAAGTGAAAGGAGTGTGTCTTTCCCTTTTATCTTTGACGTTTAAATCTTGATTGTTTGTCCTTGTCAGTTGTGATGATTGGTTCTTTTTCTTTTTTTAATTAGTATTGTGTTTTTAATTTCAACATTATCTGTAGGAGTTGTTGATTTATAATTTTGTATGTGGTGTTAATTTATTACATACAAGATTTCAAGTATGTCAACTGTTTCATTTTGTAAATCATGGAGCAATTTTAAACTTGTCAAGAATTTAGCTCAGCTTTGTAGCTTGGTCATTTCTGATCATTTTGGTCTACCTTTACCGGGACGAGCCACTCCCAGACACCAAGCTAGAAGTGAAAAACATAATAAAGATGGCTGTCAGTGGGCGGGGTCATCCAAGAGGGTCTTACGAGTCAAGAGCAAGACTGGTAGATGGCCCTGAGAACCTGAGCTGAGGGATCACACGATTGAGTATTGACACTCGGGCATCTGCTTTTGGGCCGAAGCCCGTGCAAGTGCCCCTTATGTGAAGAAAGGTTGCCATACATGGCATTTAAGAATGATTCTCAAACACAAGCAGTCATTTTCTGGGTCCCCTGTTCTGTTTTTTAGAGGACATGAGGGTACTTTACTGTACATAGTTATATTCTGTGTTTTGCCATTGTGTTTTAGTGCATGTATTTATTAGTGAGAGTGGCGAGGGGTGAAAGTGAAATAGTGTCACCAACGCCCTCTAGGAGTTGAGTGTGTCTAGAGTTGATGGCGGAATATTTATAAAAGTACCTCATCAACCCTAATTTAGGTTAGTTTATTAATAATGTGTACAGGTCGATGGGGGAATATCCAATACTCCACAGACTAATCAGAATGAGTGCAACATATGAATGTATTTACGTGTGTGAGTAATCTATCCAATTTAAGGTTTAAGTATTAGGCTAGATTGTATATTGCATGCGTTTGGGGCTGAAATGACCTATCTGTCGATAGTCCCTGTCTGAGCCTAACCCCGTAGGTAGGCAAGCAACTATCTCCTGGGTGTTTGGCTTAAAGGGGTTTCCAGCGACCCAGCCACATAGTGGGGTGGGTGAATTCCGTGATGTATAGACACTAAGGTCAGCACATTGGGGAGTGACAACCCTTCGGGGTGAAAGTCCGAATAATACCTATTTATTTATTTGTTTTTATTGTGGATACTAGGGAGGAGTTTCATTTGAGCACTGCAGCTTTACAGCTTATTGCACTCCTTCATAGTTTTTTTTTTGTGTGTGCGTAAGCTCACAAAACAGGTGAATTGAGCTTAGTGGTGATATTCCATCAAAGATACTCATTTTTGAACGGGGTAGCTGAATTTTGCCCCGGACCGTCCATTGATGAGTGCCATGTCAACTTTCATTGCAGCCGTCTGTCCCCTTATGCATAAGAAAAACAGTTCAAAGGTGACGGAGGAATCGAACCTAGGATTGTGGGATCTACTAGCCAAGAGTCTGATGCTTTAACTACTCGGCTGCCACTGTTTCCTACCTCAAGAAGTATCACAGTTTTGAATACAGTAAGGCATCGTTGTATGTTGTATGCAAGATTAAGCTGTTACTTCCATGTTTGTACAACTGGAATGGTTTGTCTGTTCTCTTTAAGACTGTAATTATTCCAGTAAGACTTTTATAATAAATAGATGACAACAACTGGAACGTTTTGACTTGGCTGAAGGCAGTTTTGTCGAGGGTCGTCGTTACCTTTGTGGAGTTCCTGAGGGTGATGGAGCTCACCACTGAGGCTCCCCGGGTCAGAAAGCTGGCCATCGTTTATTTATATTCCAAAGCTAAGGAAAAGCCCGTAAAACTCCTCCAACACTTTAAAAAAATAAAACGTTGAAATTTCAATCTGTAAGTCGAGTAAAAATGTATTTCGACGAGATGGCTCACCTGGCAAAAGGCGAAAGTACGATTTCTTTCCTTGACAGGGCCGTCACGGGACAGGGACAAGGACAAGTGCAAACCACTAAATGTTAATAATAAACCAGTAGAGAAGGGAAATCTTATCTCGCAATTTACACGGCCTCTCTTATTAAAATCGGTTTTTAAAATATCAAAATATTCCATTCGAAAATTGAAAATAATATATATTCCCCTGAAAAAACAAAGAATATTACTAATTTGGAATTAAAATGATAACATAAAAAAAAATCTAAGCTGTAAAAAAAATCTTTTTAAAGAACGTTCTTGGGCGCCAAATTTGATTTTTGGCGTGTAAAATATTGTTTTTGCAAGAAAGTAATGTCGTTGTGCAATTATAGGATTAATTTCATTTAAAATTACGATTGTTTAACCCCTAAACTTTTACTTATACAAATACATACTGACGGATTCAAAATGTTAGATAGGGTAGGTTGTTGCTATGTCATTCATCAACCACAAAATTTTAGACAACCGACACTTTTTAGCACTTTCAGTGCAGAATTAATGGCTGTCATACGAACATTAAATGACATTAAATTTTAACCAAAAATTATATAATATTTTGTGATTGTTATAGTACTATTATTGCTATCCATTAGGGACAATTACCCCTTCAATCTCATAAGTATAGTAAAGAGGTAGGTAGGTATGCAGGATATTTGGGAGATCATATACAATCTCCGTGTGAAGAGGAATTCTGTTTCTTTCTGATGGATTCAGAATCACATAGGGATTAAGGATAACAAATTGGCAGACACGTCTGTGAAGGCAAGCATGCAGGAAAGCGAAATACTGGTTCAAGCAAAAGATTTAACCACTACTTTTAAACGAAGTGTCCTTAAAGAATGGTAATCCGAGCAAGATAGAAATGAATAATAAACTTAGAATGGTTGAAATAGACATCAAACCAAAGCCGACCTTCCCAAGCCAATAGCGGGATGAAATCGACATTTGCAGATTACGCTTAGGACACACTAGACTGCCTTGTGATCATTTTATGTCAAAAACCTCTCCCCCAAACTGTCAATGGAGGGATGTTTTGAGTGTAGCCCACATTTTACATCCTCCAAATCAATGTAGTTATGTTTCCAAACCTATCATTCCATGTTCCTTGGACGAAGCGTTAGGTCGGGATCAAAGTAAAATTGATACAATTTTTTTTCAGTCATGTTTTGTTTCATTCAGTCAATATCATTTTGTTGGTGACTACGCCAACCAACCCAGGCCACCCCCAAAGGGCACTACCCCATATGCCCGTTTCTCATTCGGGTTACACTTAATTTCGGCAGCATTAGGAGAATGTGGATAAAAACCGTACATGGCCACAGGGGCCCCTGGAAAGTCCACATCCTCCCCACTTCCTGGGGACCATTTGCCCTTTGCATGTGGAGCACACTCCAGAGAAAACCCGAGCCAGCCAACCCAACACCCCCAGAACTATCCAGGCTGATATAGTATTACCAAACAAAATGACAATTAATTATGAACAGCCCTTTTAGTATTACAGTAGAAATCCGTTTATCCAGTCTTGAAGGGACCAGGACTTGTCCGGATGATTGAAAGTCCAGATAATTAGAAAATTTGTGATTTTATTAGTATCGTGTCATAAAAACGGGAAAAAACACACATACAAATAAGAACACTTTTATTCATGTCACGGTCTGTTCTCGATTCAACAAGACGGGCCCAACTATGAATCCTTTGTATGAGAAACAGAGCCCCAGAGGTCTTGATCAAACCTGAATACAACCGATCAGGAGCCTTTTTATAATAAAATTTAATTCGAGTTTGAAAACAATTTATCAATTACACAAGAAAATAACAATTAAAACCAATAAATTTCCTTTTTAAATTTTAAACAAACAATTAAAACGTTTTAAATTTACATAAACAGTAATTTCATGCAAACCGTTTGGAACAATAATTGGTGGGTACTCACTGTTTACAGTTAATCCGCTGTGTACTGCAGCACTCTATTTTAGGGAATCCACCACATTTTAAATTCTTTTCAGGATCGCACACTTCTTTTGTCTCTCATCTACACGGAATGGACTCGTTCACTTCTAGACTCGACTGTCTCTACCCTCGTTCTCCCAATCCTCTCTTATTTTTTGCTCTAGGCCTAATCATGAAATCTAAATCACAACATTGTCACTTTGAAATAAATTGAAATGTGACAAAATTTCTCATCCTTAAAGGCCTGGAAAAAACGAGTTTGTTTTCAAACTTAAAACTATTTACAATATTCGCCCCACCGTACATTTGACCCCCTTCGGATAGCTAATGATGATTGAAATCTTGCTGTTCGCTGAATCTAAATGCTGAATGGGCTCCTCTGAAGTCATGTATGCTCATACAATGTGTGGATGGCCAGTGCATATCCTTGGGTTTCAGAAGATGAGACCTCCTAATGTTGTGGATCCAAAAACCAGGTCTGGTCATAAATCCGGAAAGTCCAAAATTCCGCGCCTGGTTCTTCTTTCTTTGTTCTTGATTAATACTTGAACCATTTTCTGCGATGGTGTGATGTAGTTTGAGGGTATGCATCATTCCTGGTGATCAAAGGATACAGCCATAAAGTTGAATTTCGTTCAAACGTAGCAAAGTCCATAATGACTGAATTCTTGCTATGATTTGGAATCATATGTCATCTGTTCATCGAAGTAGTGAGTAATTTGCCTCTTTGCAGGTAGATGGGTGGGGGATGTGGTTTCACGTCCCATCTCTGCAAACGTAAAGCACTGGACACGGGAACTTGTCCCTACCCACACTGGTGATGGGGCAGCAGTTTTTGCTTTATAAAAAANTATATATATTAATCCTTAAAATCCTTAAATTAAAAGGTTTTATTTTAGCCAAATTATCTCTCTATTATGCTTGCTTTTTTTCTAAGTGGTAAGAGAATAGTTGGCATAAGCACTTCACTACTTATTCTTCAAAATTTATTTTAACACAATTCCTTCTTTTAAATGTACACAAAAAACATCAAAATCTTAATTAATCTAAAAATTCAGCCACAACTCTAAATTTAGGATGAGTGTATTAACAAAGGGACTTACCCCAAACGATGCTTGCTACGATTTACACTCACAGCATCCCCAGCATCTTTCTGTTTCTTGACTATCACCTTAATCCTTGGGTCATAACAGCTGGTCCTCGCTGGCTAAGTACCTTTGTTGAGTCGCAGACTGTGGTTGTTTCTGTTCTGGATCGACTCCTGGAATCGGCTGATCACTGCCTGGGGGGTCCTTAGTCTTGACTGACATTTGATTTCCAAATCATTCCTTTTTACACCAGTTTCTCTACCAGAGTAGGAGTGGAAAGGAAAATCAAAAGTCAGGGGAGTTCCCACTCAGCAGGTGGACCTGGTTGAAGCGACCCCAATTTATGATGCCCCACGTCACTACATATTTTTAGCCTTGTGGACAACCCTTCAGCACTAAATTTGACATTAGTTGTTTCTTTGATCAGTAGTCCACCTATTTCTTGCAAATGTTTTCCAGGTTCATGGGAAACATCTCGTCTGAGTATGCGACACGCTTCGACGTTTTTATTAATCCAACTGTGTTATTATTATAGGGCTATGTTTCCTTGGTTTGTGAGGAACGTCATGTCGCTTCCGTCTCTGCTGTGATACTCTATGACCAATTGCTTAATTATTGCAGAGTTATCTTCCCAGATTTATGTATATATAAGAATCCACAACGGATGGCCGGTCTGATGAAATTTCAAAATGTTTTTCCTTAATGTACTTTTATTTTACGTTTACATTTATTTATGTATTAATATTACAAGAAAATTTAATGATCTTAAAAATATTTAAGAATTCATCCTAGATAACAAATAAAATTGTACAAACTTAAATAGTATCGCGCAACCCAACAAGGAAATCTGTTTGTTGTAATTGCTTTGGCCTTCCTTTTTTGTAATTTAATTAAACCCTACAAGCTAATTTAGTATATTTTGCCATCCAGGAATGAAAAAACCAACAATTTATGAAAATTAGAGGAATTTACTTTTGATTCATGAATTTGCACAGTCCATTAAGTAAAAATGTTTTATTGGACATGATTTTGTTCTTAAACTAGATTATAAATTACGAATTATTATAAATTCTGTACTGTGAATATCACCACATTTATATCTGTCAGGTTTCTCTCACCAAGAGATGATGTGCTCAAAATCGTTTGTGATGATCTACAACTTATTTATTTCGTTTTATGAGTAGGCAAAATATTGTTTGACGTAAACAATATAATTTTTTTAAATAAAAGGTGATTTTGAAATGTATCCGATGGACTGTTTTACGTTATTTTTGATTGGACAGATCGACAGCAAAGCGGGCGGCTTCAGCTAGGTCATCAGCAGCATGGATCTTCAGGCCCGACTTGTTCAAGATATTTTTACCTTTACTGTGATTGCTGCCCTAAAATGTCAAACTTTGAGATTTTTGGAGGGAAAAGATAATTTTTGGTTTTTTTACATGGAGTCGCACGACAGTCGGGATTTTCAGTTCCAGCTCTGTCACTGCTGCGACGATCCCGTTTGCGATGATGTCACATCTCATGATGCCACCAAAGATGTTAACCAGAATGGCTTTTGCCTGAATAAAGATTTGTTTAAATAATGATTTTAATTTTCAAGTCGTTTAACTCACTTTTGGGTCTGAAGAGATAATCTTGAAAGCCTCTTTCACCGTTTTCTCCGTGGCAGAACCTCCAACGTCCAAGAAATTGGCCGGCTCGCCGCCGCTCAATTTAATGATATCCATGGTGGCCATAGCCAGCCCAGCCCCATTCACCATACACCCGATATTTCCTTCAACATGTGTTGTAAAACTTTAAAGGGACTTTTAAGTAATCTGTATTATTGTCATAACGGTATTCACCATCGAGGGTAACATAGTTCAAATTGTATTTGGCCGCTGTCACTTCTTTTATGTCCTCTTGACTGTAGTCTCTTAAAAGAAATAAGTCCTTCTGTCTATATTCAGCAGAGTCATCAAAATTGATCTTTGCATCCAAGCAGTAGACTGTGAATAGAAATAAAAACTCTAAATTAAATTGATTAATTATTTGAATGGTGGATCTCACAGTTGTCACTTTCGTCGTTAATAAACGGATTCACTTCCACCAGAGAAGCGTCTGAAGTGATAAAAATTTCGTATAACTTCATTATTATGTCCCCTACTTCCTCCTGACACCTGATCAGTCCAAGTCCTGCTGCAATGCCCTCTGCAGTGGTCTTGTTTAGTCCTTTGTCAACCAGATTCATTAAAAAAAATTAAATACTGTTAAAAATTACTTTTCTACCATTAAAGATGTCAATGGGAGTTGTATTAATGGCTGCTGGTGTCTGTTCAGCGACTTTTTCGATGTCGACACCCCCTTTCAACGATGAAATGATAACTGGACCCTAGAAATGACCCAGAAAGTCAAAATGTAAAACATGTTAAAGCAATACAAAAAGAAATAATAAATAAATAAAAAATATTTTAAAAAAACCAACGTGGAAGCTTCTTTCCATCACTATAGAAAGGTAGTACTCGTGTTTGGCCTTGATCATTTCAGCTATCATGACCGAGTTGCAAACCTTCCCTTCCGGTCCACTCTGGGCGGTTATTAATGTGTCTCCGATCATGGATGATGCAAGTTCTTCAGCTTCCTGGGGTCTACAAATCATCAAGGACTAGAATGTATTTTTCTATACATCTCATAACTTACAATATATTTGTTTACTAAAGGAGGACAGACTTCTTTTGAAACCTAGTAAAAGGTGAAAAATATAGTTGATTCACTTGTTGATGAATTGTATCATAAAGTTCATTACTCTTTGGTTGAACCATTAGTTTATTTTGTACTTTAAAATGTCTAGACATGTGCTGACACACTTTTTAAAACATGAGATAAAGAATGAAGTGCTTTTTTTTAACTTGTTGAAAACGTACAATCAAAATAAAGATTATACTTTTAAATTTGAATAATATTATTTTAAAGGTATGCAATCAACAATCATTATATACAGATTATGGAGACTGGTAAAATTTATTTATTTCCTTTAAATTTGATATAATATCTTCTTTTTTCTGAGGCTCAAGTTGAATTTGTGACCTGGTTCACTATAGTGACAAAAACACATGCTAGTTTAACAATTAGGGATGGTTAGCTGGTTAATTGGATGGTTTGCCTTTGTAAGGTTTTCTGTCAAAACACTACAATTTTTTACTTGGAAAAATGTAAATAAGTGAGAGTTTGTGTTTAGAGAAGACAACATCCTCTATCACACTTTCAGCCAGTAGAGAACTACAATCTTAGACATTAAAAAAACACAATAAGTTTGTTATTATTTTATTTTGGATTTGCTGGCGCCAAAGTTTGTTATTTGAGAGATCCTGTTTGGTGTCTCTCCTTTATCTCTTTCGAGGTTTTCAGTCAGACAACGCTAAGGGGAGTTTATTGAGAATTTATTGCCTTTTTAGGAGACAGGAAATAAGTGTGAAGTATGGATGTTTAGAAGAATCATTGGTATTTCTTTGTTTGCCTTTATCCGGTTTTCAGTCAGATAACTACAATTTTATATTTGGTAAAACGGAAATAAGTGTACAGTGTTATGTGTATGATAACATTGGTATCTTTCCTTCAAAGAACTACAATTTTTGACTTGTAAAAAGGGCATTAAGTATAAAAGTGTTTGTGTTTAGGAAGATCATGTTAATGTTGATGTCTACATTTGTTCCTGTTAGGTTTTCAATCAGTAGAGATGTACAATGTTTGACGACTAGAAATGTGCAATAAGTGTTTGCTTTGAACGATCTTGTTTGGTGTCTTAGCCTTTGCCTCTGTGAAGTTTGCAGTCCGGAAATGATAATTTTTGACTTGAAAAAAAGGGGAATGTTAACATTAGTGTCCCTATATGCCATGTATGGCTTTGCCTTGTTTTCAGTCAAAGATCTACATAATTAGACTTTGAAAAACAGGTAATAAATCCAGGCTTGAATTTTTTTTCTGAAGGGATCGTGATAACATTACCTCTACACTTTCAGACAGGGAACTACAATTTTTGACTATGAAAAACAGCCAATGCACGTATGTTTTGAGGAATCATCTTAACTTTGGCATCTCTATATCTGCCTCTGCAAGATTTTCATTCAGATAATTCCAAAATTTTAAATTTTAGAAACGGAATAAGTGGGTATCTGACTGTTTGGAAGGATCTTGCATATTTTTCTATCTTTGCCTGTGTAACACTTTCAGACAGAGAACTATGATTGTTGACTTTGAAAAGCAGCCAATAGGCATGTGCTAACTTTATCTTCGTCTCTGCAAGATTTTCATTAAGAGAACTTCAAAATTTTAAATTCGAGAAACTAGGAGTAAGTGGGTACGTTTGGGTGTTTAGAAAGTTCATGTTATTATTGTTGATGTCTGTTTGCCTCTGGTAACACTTTCGGAGAACTTATAATTTTTCACTTTGAAAATCAGATATGTGCGTGTTTAGACTTTTAGAGGGTTTATGTAAACGTTAGTATCTCTATATTTGCTTTTGTTGGTTTCTAGTTAGCGTATTGCAATTGTTGACTTTGAAATACGTTATTCTAGAACTTTAAATAAGTTCTAGAGTTAAAGGTCTAAGTTCTTTTAAATAAGACGACTCACATGGTGAACGGTATGACGCCCGGCTTTCCGCTCTTGAAGAATCTTCCTTTTCCCCGTCCTCCGGTGAGGACCTGGGCTTTCATGACGAGGTCTTCAGTGCCCAGGGACTTAGCGACTTTGATGGCTTGGTCCGGGTCGGTAACCAAACCGTGCTTGGGCACGGGTACGCCATTCTTTATAAAAATGGCGTAGCTCATGTGCTCGTGTATGCTGAAGGCCCTCCTCGCCTGAATCCGGTCCCGAAAGAAGGCATTTTTCACCTGGGCCCCAAATTGATTTTTTTTCTTTAACTTTTCTAAAATCTGGTGGGACGAAAAGAAAAACCAAACTTACGGGTTCAAGGCAAATTCGCGATCGGGCGCACTTGGAAACGGAAAACATCGTGCTGATCAACCAAGTCCGTCAGATTTCCCGCTTGTGCGACCACTCATATCTCGCCCTTTTTTAATCTTGACTAAAACGTGAAACGGATCTCCTTAAAGCCGACTTCGTTTTTTGTTTTTTTGAAAAATACCTACTGCAGATAAGATTACCCTTTTCTGACTCTAGAACAGATGTTTAAAAGCAGTCATTTAGTCTCCAAGCTTCGACGTAAAGATTATTCTGTTTACCGAAGCGAGAATTTATTATTTGTCTGCGCCGATATCTTTACGATTCTATATCGTTTTTGAAAATCTGTCAATTCTTGTCTAAAAAGAATGGAACAATACGATTTCCCTCTTTTCGTTAACTCAGTATTGGTTCTATCCTTTCATCACAATTTTGTACAACCTGGACTTCGTGTAATTTCATTCTAATAAAATTACATTAAAAGTCGCTATTATTTTTCATCCAATTTTGCATAATTGTCTTGTCTCTTTGTCCAATAGTTCGAAAAACGCCTCTTACTGAAACAAAGCAGTTTCTTCTTCCTATACATTATTTTTTAATTAATTGTAACAAATTGTTTATTTTAATTTTAAAAATTCTAAAATAGAAAATACGAGATTAAAAAACAAAACAAAAAACCCGATACTGATCAAAAGTCAAAACACTACAGTAGTGATGATAATGTATACTAGGAAGTGGGGGGGGGGTGTTCTCCAATCACTGCACCCTTCTAACTTCTTGAACTTTCCTAGTTCTTTAGTCCAATCTGTCAATTTATTCCTTCTTTCAAAGAGGTCTGTCGTTGCTATATTTACTTTCCCTTGTTTTTCTTTGTATTGAATTCACAGTCGAAGATATGGATGGATGTTTCTTCCTCCTCACTGCACAACCAACAAACTGGGTTATCACCTATACCCATGTTATAGATGTTTTCTAAGATGCGAGTGAAAAAGGTGAGGTAAATAGTCCTATCATTCCTCTGATTTTAGCCCTCTCTAATTGTAGCAGTGAGTTTGCCAGTCTTGATGAGAGTTCTTTAATCGTTAGTTTATTGTGGCTAGCACCTCTATAACTTATTATCTTCTCCTTTTGTGGATTACGGAAGATTCTGGGTTTGTAGGATCAGATAGCCCTCCTTGCAGATCAGGCCAGTGTGTCTGATTTTGTTACCCAAAATTCCTTTGCGTCCTGGCACCCCCCAACCATCAGGTTGTTGTTTCCCAGGTTTTGAAAATTTTGGGTACATTAACTGACTAGTTTTGATTTGATTTTTTTTTTAATATGCTAATGTTTTAATGATTACTTGACTATCCGATCTTACAAGGATTCTTTTGCTAGTGAACCTCTTTTAAGATTTTCTAGGGCACAAACAATAATGACATGTATTTCTGCTTAAAAGATCACTATTACTTCCTTCATGAGCTTGAGTGCTCATGTTTTGGGCTTGTACAAAAAACACTCCTTCGTTTGTTTTGGGCCAATCTGTATACTTTAACTGGTACTCTCCTGAGTTCTTCCTCTACTTTATAGTCTGTTGAGACCTTATAGGAATTTGTAAAGAATGTTTCTGGGATTATATAATCAGTCCCCATTTCTAAGAATGGGTGTCTGATTTTATTAATTATGGTTGTGTGCCAGCATTGCTTATTTCCCATCTAATTTGGTTGTTTGTGGGAGCCTAAATGAGCTTTACATTGTACTTTTGGAAGGTTTAGCAGTTTCTAGTGCACTGTGGGGGTGGTTCTCATTGCTGTGATACATACATTTGCTAATCTTTGTATGATGCCTAGTGTTCGGGTAGCTTGTTTTTGTTCATCTTTGGTCCACCAGATTGGTATATAAGTATAACACAATTCACCTTTAAGTGTTAAGATGTATAGACCACTTTTTTTACTTACTAATAATCTTGGTCTGGATGAAAAAACAATTTCATAATTAACTATGCCAATTTGTAGACATATTTAAGATTTTTTAAATCTAATTATGGATCTTAAAATAGATTAAAAACTTGGCAGTAAAAACTGAAATTGTTTTTACATCCAGATTATTCATGGATAATTCACCTTCCTTATATTTAAATGGGAAAAGATTTAGGTTTGAGTGCTCTAAATCCTGTCTGATTTCTGAGATCCCTTTTCATCAGTAATTCATTCCTCAAACAATCCTACTGGAAAGTATTTTCATTGTCCAAATTCCCCAATAACTCAACAATATCAGTTTACTAAAGCAAGATTTTTTTCTTCTAACGCTTGATTTGTTTATTTGATGAGGCAGAATATTATTTGTATAAAAATCTTTTAATCACCATAAAAGTGAAAAATAAAACATTAAGTCAAATAAAGAAGTGATATTTGAAATATACTTGAAACAAATCATTAGCGCTTAATTTTTCTCGATAATCAAAACTAATTTTTACTTATAATTTTATTAGGATAACAAAATAAATTTTTGTTTTTATATGAACACTTCAAAAATAACAATGCTGAAACAAATGTTTAAATAAGCTTAAAAAAAGATCTGTACTTTGAAAGTTGAACTTTGCTCTCTGTAAGGAGTGTTATAAAGATTAGCGCTATCACTTTTGAACAAGCGCAATTGAAAACTCCTAAAAATGTATATAAATGACTTAGAACAATAAACCTTTTTGTGTATTCGTTTACTCTAAAATAGCACTCGTTACAAGTTCTGGTTTTCTTTGCATATCTGCCTTTCAATTGACACTTGTTCCAAACTGTGAATTTCTGTTTAAACTGGTAAAGTATTTAAAAGTATCAATAGAAACTTTGATAAGGAGTCTCGAGAGAAAGCAATGTCTTTTTTTTAATAAGAAAATATTTCAAACACTCAGCAACAAATGTTTTCATTTTTTTAAATAATGGCTAATAAAAAATATCTAACTTAACTAATTTGCCTTCTCATTTGAGGGTAGTTTATTTAAATTCACTAATTTTGTGGTCCGCTTGACCAATTAAATCATTACAATTAATTAAGGTTTTTAGTTGAGATGAAAAAAGCTAATGGCACGAGCGGGATTCGAACCCACAATCTTCGGCTAGATACGCCGCTGCTCTACCACTTGAGCTATCGTGACCTCGATCCACTCGGACATCAACTTCCTATCTCAACCCCACCTTATGAGTTTTCCCTCCTTTTTGCCATTTTTCAAATGTCGTGTAATCGGTTTGGATTCTCGACGACAATTGAAATGGCCACGGAGAGCTTTAGTGAAGTGTACTTCATATTAATTCTTTAAATTCACTAATTTCGTGGTCAAGCGGAAGATCACTAAATCGTATTCTCTAAACACCAGGGACTATTATCAGTCTGAAGTCATTTATCTTCTTCTTGTCTAATTGGGAATAACTAATGAACAAGAAGCTATTCATAAGTAGCTTCTGGAAGAGGTGAAAGGCAATTTTTTTGTACCATTTCAATGAATTGCAATAGGGTTCAAATGATATTTTTGCCTTCTTGTAAAACTTAATTATTTAAATTTAAAAAATACAGAAAATTAGTAATAAATTTTTATACTTACCATTACTTATAATTATCTAATTTACTTAAAAATTAAATTAAGTACTTACAAATTAAATGAAGAGAACACCAAATTGTTAAACTTTTGGTTTTTCTTTACAAAACCCTTAAATCACAAAATATTTTAGCATTTTAATCTATCTATCAAATCAGTAATGTAAAAATGAAATATTACTTTTTTATGGTTTTATGATCTTGCATATTGACTTTGAAGCATTTTCTCCTACCTGCATACCATTTTCTGTATCTTGTGTGCCTATTTATGACTGTTATGTACACATATTTGTTTTTTTTTATATCTAAAATACAATGCACAGTAACACCAAGTTTATTCCATGCAGTAAAACAATATGTATATACATATATCAACAGGTGTGCACTTCTGAAACAAATGAGAAAAAATTATTAGGTTAAAAAAGATACATTAAATTCCACAGGTAGAAGTAGACAGTGATGAATTGGCAAAGTTTGCTCTTTTAGCTTTCTTAAAGAATGTTCTTACAGGACTGCTTTGTCTGGTTTTTCAATTGCTGGAAATTTTGTTCGAGAGGATCCATTGCTTGAGTTAGGAGTCGTTTTACATTGATGCTTCATTCCATTGTCAAATCATATTCTATGATTTTGTTTTTCAACTTTTGAGCGAATCGAAAGATTTCTCAACATCTTTTTTATTGCCTAATCCTGTTTTTCTTCTAGTTTATCCTCTTCTGTGGTTATCTCCTCTAGAAGTTTACAAGGGAGGGGGACCACGGATGAGGAAAGTGCGTATAACGAGACTACTGCAGTTCAGAATAAATATTTTACTGGCTGCAGAAAATATAGCAAAATCGAATTGAATAACAGTTCATGAAGGTTAAAACATAAAACAAAGTTAAATTTATTAGAACAATATTAAAAAATATAAAGCAAAAAATACCTCAGTAACTTTTTATAAACAAAAAAACAACAAAACTCAAGTTGCTCTTTATCTACATTTATTTAAACTAATTCCTTCTAAATATAGGAATGTTTATATTAAATTAAAAAAATAATAATAATAATAAACAAATAAAAAAACTATATTTTTACATGAAACTAAGAATATTGAATTACATATTTGCCCGATGGGAAAAATATAGACTCGTGTACAATTTAATGAAGTAATATTGTATACAGAATTGAAATAAATGAGAATTTATTTGTTTTTATAATAAAATATTCGATAAAATCACATTATTTAATTATTGATTAAAGTAATAATTGAATTTTAACTTTCAGTAACTAAATTATATAGAAAATTGAACTATTTAATTAATTTAATTAAACACATGATAAAATAAAGCTACTCTTTATCAATTTTATTGTAGTACTCCTCGAAACGTTTGTTCATCGTAATCGAAGTCGCAAATGAAATAGGCTTGCAGTTGGGCGGGTCGCAGTTCAACCTGAGCAAAGGTGATGCCTCTGACATTTTGGCAAACTTTTCCTGAACGATTTTGATTTGTTCATGAATCGTTTTGTTAAGGGGACACCGCCTGTGAAAAGTGACAATTTTAAGAAGGAAAAAAAATTACTATAATTTAGCAATACTTGTTCTTCCAGAAATAGTATCTCCTCCTACGGCTGTTGTTCGAGTGGAATGAATGCCCCGAAAATGATAACCGCTTAGAGCCTTGGCTCCAGTTTGACCTGACCGAAGCGTTCGACCTCATGCTCCTTCCCGACATGAACGATCTGTTTGTAGCTATACTTTCACACGATTGCGCCCTCTTTAGATTTCCACCCTGGGTGACAAAGTTCCAATAGTTGCTAAGCCTAATGTAAAAATATTTATTTACCAGTTGTTTCACAAATTTGTTTCTTCATTATTTACCCTCTGTTCCCTGTGTTATAATAGAAATTGCTTCCTGAATTCAACATTTTCTTTGCCTGAAAAATGTTTATAAATTAAAACTATGCACTAATATAGACATTAAACAAGTAGAAATAATGGTTAAAAACCAAATTTTATTTTAATAATAGCAAAAAGCAAAAAATATTTATTGTTAAGTTGCACCTGACTGACTTACATTTTGGAAATGCCCTCCACACAAATTTGTATTACACATGTGGTTATGCTGACAGCTGTAATTATGTTGGTAGTTCAGGCAATTGTGACAGCCCTGAAACATTGGTTACACTGTTATTTTAAATGTACAAAACAGGCGGTGTTTTCTTACCCTGTAGCAATAATTGCCCTCGCAGCTATCATAATTGTTATTCCTGGAATTAAAAATATATTTTAATGGTTCAATGGGTGTTGGTTGTGTTTAATAGATACCTTGGAAACCGAGAGTACGGATGGTTCGAGTAGCTGTAATTTGAGTTAGAATAGTAATTTTTCTGCTGTCTAAACGATCTCCCCCCATTCATGTGTTTCTGGTTATGGGATTTATCGAGCTTCTGCTGGTTTATGATTTCACCTATTCATAAAATTTGAGTTAAATAAACATCTTTCTTGTTATACAACTTGTTGAGACCTATCTTTATACAAGTAAAATGTCTACACCAAATATGGTTAGAAAGTTATTTCTATTTTTCTCTATTTCTTGATCTACATCACACTTGTGGTTATATGAATGGTATTATTTGATCACTATACAAGTAAAATATAGAAAACTTTTTTTTTCTCTTTTTAATTAGCATTTAATAATTCACATGAAAATAGACATGTGCTCAAAAACTGTAAACATATCTATAAAATATTTTAGTCTGAGACGTTTAATTGCGACGATAGCTCAGTGGTTAGATCAGCGGCGTATTGAGTTAAAGATTGTGGGTTTGCGAATCAATCGAGGTCATGACACTCATCTTTTCATCTCAACCACACTTTAAATAAAATTACTAATCAATAAATATTTATATTATTATTACAATATACTTATACTAGGAAGTATAAAAGGTTTTGGTTATTTTATATTAACAACATAACCAAATGTTTAATAAGAATAAATTAACAAAAGAAACTGTAAGGATAAGAAAGTTTTCTATTGTTAATCAGTAGCGATTACTATTAGTGGGCACTGATAAATGCCTAGATATATTTCAGTTATAAGTCATCATGGCCAACAACTAACTGAACAAAATTCTAAAAATTAACTGTTGATTATTGATTGTATTTATTGACACTAGTTAAAAGCGGGATTGATGATAAAAAGTAGAAATTGATGGCGGGTGTTGGGTCTGACTCAATGAACACGAGTTTTCATTGATGTATAGTTACTTACTGGGTCTGTCTACGCTCACAGGTTTTGATGTTAACTTTCCCACCGAAGATGGTGCAAAGTCAAAACAAATTTGTGTAACATCAAAAAATATGAGTGTAGATGAACCCAAGGCTGGTAAAAAAGTAGAATTTATACATTGGATGCATTTTGATAATTGTTCAGTTACTTATTTTTATATATATATCAGAGGACAAAACTAGCAAAAGTAGGCTGTGAGTACTAACATTGAGTTGATTACAGAAAAGAGCACTAAATTCAACTTTAAGACTAGATCCATATGTTTTAGTGGGCCCTAGTTGACCAAAGTATCAAGACTCGGCTAGATAGCCAGAAGTCGTGATGTTCGAGTCCCGCTTGTGACACTAACTTTTCATCTCAACCGCATTTTACATCAAATTTATAAATCAATTTAAGAGTTGAGTAAAATGTGTGGTGATTAGTGACTGTTAATCGATTATTATTCAGAAATCAAACCGCATCTCACGATTTCTGAATAATAATTGTTGAGTAAAATATTTCGCAAGAATAAATTGATAAGAACAACAAAAAGGAGAAAAATGTCTTTCATTTTTAGTCGGTCGCATTTACCATTATTATTAATATTATCGCATTTACCATTTACCAGGCCAATATTACAGGAAAATTCAATGGAACTTTTGCATAATTTTCTATTAGAACAGAGTAAACTATTTAACAGAAATAAATTGATAAGAGCGAGGGGAAAAGCTCTCATTGTTCATCACTTGAGCATTAGGCTGATCACAGTAAGGTTTTAACGACACAATATTACAAGCACCAGACAATAAGTGTTTATTTTGAATTATTTTCTAACAGTAACAGAGTAAACTATTTAACTGAAATAAACTGATAACAACATCGGCAAGGGGAAAATTGTCTTCCATTTTTAGTCTGCCACATTTAGCATTAGGCTGGTTCAGGAAAGTTCAATTAAAAAAAAAAATTAAACTAACAGACAATAGGGTTATGTTCTGAATCATTTTCTATTAATAGCAAAGTAAAACATTTAACAGAAGTAAATTGATAAGAGCCATGGCAAAGGAATGAAATAACTTCCATTGTTAATCAGTTTAATTTAGTGTAAGGCCGATCGAAGGGAGGTTTAAAAGATACATTATTAAACTATGACAGACTTTATATTTTGAATTATTTTCTACTAGCAATGGGGTAAACTGTTTAACACAAATTAACTGATAAGAGCATGGGGGAAAACAATTTTGACTGTCAGTCAGTCACATGTAGTGTTAGGCCGATCAAAGGAAGAATCGGCACAAGGACACAATATTAACCCACGACCGACAACAGGTGTATAGTTCTATTAATAATATAGTAAAATAGTTAACAGAAATAAATTGATAAAAGAAACTGGTAAGAAGAGAAAATGTCTTCCATTTTTAGTCGCTCACATTTTAGAAAGTTCAAACTTTCAAAGGACCTTGAATTAAACTACCACAGACAAGTAGGTGCATGTTTTGAATCATTTTTTTATTAGGACTAGAGTAAAATGCCTTCCATTGTTAGTCTTTACTAATAATTAATTAAGACAGATAAGTTCGAAGTCAGCAGATTATTAAATTAAAATCGTTTTTATCGTTTTAAAACAAAAATTTTAATAAATTACTTTTTGTTTATCGGCTTACAGTGTTTAAAACAGGGAATTTATACCATTCTGATGATTGATTATTTATAATATCCATTATTATTTTATTGTTATTTATTGTTTATTCGTATCGGTGGGCAAAAACCGGCGAGAAAAGGCCCAAGACGGTCTGGAAATATACAACTGACAAACACAGGAACGTTCATGATCAAAGGGCGCATAATCAAACTGTCCGATTAGTTTTTAAACGGTGAAAATCCCCGAAATTAAAATCACCGGTGTTTTTAAATATATGATCGAGTCTTAGGGCAAAAGTGTGGTGGTAGAAAGAAAGAAAAAAGATTTGTTTATTATTAATTTTTCGGTATATAATTCCGACTTTGTTGTCACTTAAGAGATTAGGTGAGCCATCAAATGAGGATTAGAAACAAAAACAAATCCGTGTTTTAATTAACAATGGGCAAATAGAACAATAAATGAAGGTGTGAAATAACTTTTTTCTTTTTAAATAGCACCGTGTTTGCAATTTATTGTGGGACTGATGAAAATTGTAAAAAAAAAAATTCGGAATGTCGGTGGACGCCTCCGGTTTTCAAAAGAAAGGAAGAAAAGACGGTGAGCGCTCACCCAACGAGAGGCCCTCGTTTTCGAAGCTGTCGTGTCCTCTCATGTCCTCGTCTCCCGGTGGTACACAACGGAAAAGCGAAAAACAAGTTTTCCGGAATATAATCGGGAAAATTATCCCAGGCAGTTCCTTTCCCCTCTGTCACCGGTGAGCGATGCGAGAAAAAAGAACTCGAGAGTTCCGCGTTCCGCCCTCAAAGGCTTACAGGCCTCCCACCAGGGGCGACGTCGCTTTTTATAAACAGGAAAGAAATTAACAAAAATAAAACCTTTAAATAAAAAAAATCTCAATTGAAATATTTAAAAAAATATATTGTTTAATAAAATACACCTTGTAATAAAAACCTTTGTTTTTAACACTTCTCGGGTTTTAAGAAAGGAAGGTTATTGTTTATAAGATTTGTTTGGTAAACAATTCTTTCAGAGCCTTATCTCCCGCTTTTTCACTTTTCTTCTAGAACGAAGTGAAAATTTACTGGAAAATGTCAGTCAATTCCGCGCCGATCGACAGGGATCTGGAAGTGTCAAACGCCAACAGAGGCGTCTGGCTTGTCAAGGTATCTAATTACTAACAAAAATCTGTTTATGCCCTGTTTCGTTATCAGTCCAAAAATATCAGTAAAGAAATTTTTCTCTTTTCTTCTTAAAAGTTAATTAATTGACTGAATTGGTAACATGATACATTACTAACGTGATATCTCGATTAAAACAATTATTACCGAAAATGACAAGGCCTTCTTAATTTCTATGTGAAGTTTTATAAGGCTGATTTGTCAGTACTTAGATTTAAAGTATAAAAATCATGGCAAAAAAAAGACACTCCGCTTTGTGATGTTTGTACAGAAAGAATAATAGTTAAACACATTTTGACAAATTGCAAAAAATATGAAGGAGAAAGACATCGGCTGGAAATTCCAACCAACATCAAAGACTTGCTTGGTGATGACTCCGGTCAAATAGACAAACTACTAACTTTCCTTAAAAAACTAAACTAATTTCTGAAATATGAAGATAAAATGATATAATCATTTAATACAAAAGAATATTCATTTTATGCAATAATCTGTATTTTACTCAATGTTGGGAGGTGTCTTGGGGTGCGGTTTGGGTGGTGGTTGTGAAAGGGTATCCAGGGCGCGTGATACTGCCAGGGCCCTGGGCTGTGGCCCACTCACCACCCAGCTTGAAAGCTTTTAAGGTAGAAAATGACCCAAAGCGGTTGATTTCCTTTTTATAATAATAAAAAAAAAGTTTAAAAAACATTGAAATATAAGTTCTGTAATTCGATTGAATAGGAAAATTTTGCAATTTAACACTACATAGAATTGATAAGCATTGAATCTTGTTCTTCTTCTCTACACAACACATGTCACAGAAGGAAAATTGAATGGTCAGCCATTTTGTTGTAAAGTTTTCTGTATGCAGTAGAGATGACTAAAGTTACTTCAGGTATAACAACATAGTGGTATTTCATGCGAACCGGCATTGAGTCTTGAGTAGTTCAAGAAATAGGAGTGAAGATGAACCCAATGCCGGTTCAGCATGAGTTCACAGACGCGCCTAGCATGTTGAGACACGCTTAATATGGCAAAATTGGCTGATCTACATTGCAAAGAAAAGCAGACATATATGATCGGTAGGATCACCACGCCCCACTGGAGGAAATATTACAATTTGTTACTTAGTTGCTCTATACCTACGGTTTTACAACTTACACATTCAAATTTATGACCGATGTATGTACATCCTTCTCTTTAGTTGGAATGGTAAAAGCCTTTATACTACTGTCTCAAAATTGTGAGATTTCTTCTCAAGGTCTCCAAGGCGATGAATCTGTAGTTTGTTCCGAGTATTTTTGCTTGTTTGGTCCGGTAAAAATTCATCCACAGGACTAAAAGCTGCGAAAAGGTAAAACAAGTCTGACAGAATTAGAACACTCATACAAGGCAGACCAAAATGATTAGAAACAATCAAACTAAAGGCTTATCTCTCTGCACTCCCCACGAAGAAATCTCACTGATGATGGTGTCAAAATGCAACTACAGAACAACATAATGTGGTACTCCAGAATTTATTTGTTTCATTACGAACTTCAATCTTGGATGGAAAAAATAAATTTTTCTTTTGCAGAAAATATTCTTGATTACACAAGAAAGTGAATACCACTTTATAATGAATTATAATGTATTTGTATTCATGCAGTCTGCATGCTAGAATCTTTCTTGCAATTTATCTATCAGCAAATACAATTAAAAGACCAGGGGTTTCTCTATTAAGAATGTTTATTATTGAAAATTGTTCTATTTCTTTTGCCTGCTAAATGACAATATAAGTGTTCAGTATGAAATATGTACAGGACTGAACATTCTAAACATTTAAATATAAAATTTTTAAAAAATTAATTGTAATTCCACTTTAATATGTCCAAATAGTTTTAATCATACCCAGTTGGTAAGAAGTATAAGTTTTGTTTTGATAAGTGAAAATGAATGAATTTTTGGTATAAAATTAGAAACAAAAAATATATTAACAAAATAACTCGCGCACGCAAAAAAAAAATTCACTTATTTATAAAAAGGTCCATAACTACTTCATTGTCAATGTCTAAACTATTAAGGGTGTCTGAATGCATGAGAACGTCCCCGTCGAATTTTATACTGATTTTGTCTTCGGGTAGTTTAAGCTGTTTGGCACAAGCCCTGATGAGGAGGTGAACGGATTGGTCTTTGCACAGGTAGAAGACAAGAGGCTTTCTAACATCCTTCTCTTGAACTTTAATCTTGATCTTACGACCGCTACGACCGCCAGGCGTTGTCAGCTCGGTGAGAAAATCTTTGGCATTGTTCTTGAGTGCAACGATTTCATCAAGTACGCTTATATTCAGAGAGTGGATGGAGTCGCTAGGATAGATCTCTGTGCCATTTCTGACAAGGAGAACCTCCTCCGGATTGAGTTGGTACTCCTTGGCGAGCAATTTGAACACCTTCTGTAGTGGCTCTTTCCTACCGATGTCAAACCAGTGGATTTTCATTGGTTCGTTCCATAACACCCTTAGAGTCTCAACGATCTCATCATCATCAGAACTCAGCTCTATTGCTTCCATAAAGAATATTGACCTGTAAAAATAATTTACAAAAAATTATTTTAAAAGACAAAAATTACATTTCTAATATAAGTTTGTAAGGTTGTACCCGCAGTCTGGTTGTTTATTGTAATATTAATGTCTCCTCATTGTCTATTGGCAACAGCAAGGATAAGCAGAGCAGAATGATCAGTAATGACCAGATTACAGGTTAGTTCATCACTCTATGTTAAATCTTAATAATTTAAGAAACATTAAATTGTTAGAGTTGTTTGATTATCTTTTTTTGGTTGAATTGTTTAGCAGTAGTATTTAACTTTACAAGTCAATTTACTCAATAAGGCTCATTTTATTTTTTATTTTGGAAAAAACAACAAATTAAGCCAGGTGACTTTCTACATGTTTATTAGTTTTGATTTATTTTTACAAATTATCAAATAAGACAGTATTGCGTTTTTAATGGAAAATTTCTGGGGTAATGTGTTAAATCTGTCTGGTTATTATAGCAATATCATTAAAACTCAAAGTTCTACCGGATTCCAAATGCTCATTGTTCTGCAACAGTCAGCACAACAGTCAGTTTCTGGGTATACTGATCTGATTTTTGGAGGAAACATGTTGCTTTCTATTGTACATAGTCATATATATTTTTCCGTTAAATGTATCATGAGAGTGGATGTATTTATTTGTATGAAAGTCTGATATGACTATTGTAACTTAAAAATTAAAAGTTGCATGCCAACTGTTACAATTGTCTAGGAGCATGTAACAAGATTCTGGTACTTAATTGTTTAATATCGGTCCATTGTTCCTGAGCCCATCAGCAAGTTTTTAAGTCCCTTGGGGTCTTTATTGTGTGCAGCTGTTTTATCCAGTCGACATTGCTTTAATCTTAAATATCTTATAATTTTATAATTATTGTTGTAAAATGTTATTCTGAGCATCACGATTTCTACCTTTAATTGACAGACCTTGTGCAGTTTAAATACACTCAAAGACAAAAAGAGAGAAAACACATCACATTTTATTGTTTATTTCAAACTATATGTATTTTTATTATAACTATATTATGACATTCTTATTTTAATGTACACCCAATTAAACAAGAAATTCGTGAGTTATAATGAAAATGATTTAATTATGATGATTTGAAAACACTGGAAAATCATGTAGTGGTGGATTAAAATTTAACTAATAATTTATTATCTAATTTTGCTCTTTGTAATGCGTATTATCTCCTTTGGCCTTGCAGACAGCCTCCTAGGCATCGAGGAAATAATGCGTGATGAATTTTTGTGTGCCTTTGAATGTATATAACAAACTTGGGACAATTCAGCAACACTGCAACTTGACGAGGGCATTAAATATATTATCCTCATGCAAGAACAGTAAAGTTTTAGAATTCAATATAAATACAGTAAATATAGTTGACATGCCACCAAATCTGACATGTCCATGAGCACATAAGGAAGTTTCTGAGTCTTCTGTCCAGATTTTTTTTGATAGAAATTATGGGCTTTTATTGTGTACAGTTGTTTTAGTTTGCGAACAACTTTTTAATCTTAAATGTGCGGTGTGAGTTAAAGGTTTACTATGAAGTAAAGTAGCATGGATGTTAACATCCTCATTGACTTACTACTGTTATTTATACACTTTAGGTTACTTTGGACAAAATTGTTTTTAAGAATATGTATATCAGAGTTAGTTACTCTTGTTGATTGGACCTATTGCTCGTTTGTTTTCTCAGATTGGCAGATCAATGAAATCGGCAACTAAAGCTAAATAAAATGAGATTGTGATTGTGACTATAAACGATATTAAATAATGACCTGTTTGTTTATTGCTGTTGTATGTTTTTATTTTCTCGATTTTGGCCTTCAACTGACGAACCCTTTGTGTTTGGAATATGTAAACAAATAGGGACACACTAACGATACGATACTATCGAAGTATCGATACTTTGCTGTGACCGATACTTGTATCGTTACTTTTTACCGATAATTTTGAGTATCGCTTTTAAATATTCGGTATTGAATTCAAATTCTCAAAATAAAAAGTCAGTTATTTAAAAAAAAATCTAATAAATTGGGGAAGGGGCATCGGTGGCCGCAACGGTTTGGGTGTTGACACGGCGCTAATCACAGTAAGTTAAAGGTCCCGAGTTCGAATCCAGCGGCCCTTATTCGAACCCGACGTATCGGTAACGATTTTTTTTTTCCAAAAACACCGGCACCTTGAGGGTTTATAATTATGTCCTCTGCTGTTGCGAACCCTCGTAAAAAAATTGTGAAATATAATTGTTTAATAATTAATTTTTCGTATGATTACGAAATTTTCCCCTGCCCGCTACTAGTCCTCTAAACCAGGACTACAAAAATCTAAGTTTTTAACCGATATTGTTCTATTTATTATCTATATATTGGTCAATTTCCTATTGCGCACTTGTGAGTTGATTTCGTCGTTTTCTCAATGAAGTTAATCCGAAATCCAAATTATTTCATGAAACATTATGTCGCCACAAAAAAGAAAAGTTGTGTTTGCATTTTACTCGCCTAGAATAATAGTAGATAATTTAGTAACAAAAATAAAAAATAAAATTCGGCTAAGTGTAAGCAATGCTCCAAGATCCTGAACACGAGTGGTAATACTACTAACTTGGTAAAACACCTTCAAATTCACTCCGGTATTCTTTCAACTTAAACGTGAACGGCAGAAAAACGAAAATAATAAGAAAACACAAGATTTTCAAACCCGTCGGTGGAAAAAAATACCCGTCGCGATGTGATCAAGAGTGCAGATTATGCACAAATCCAATATTGATCGGAGTTTTCTATAGCTTTTTACCTATTATTTACAATTTTCATAGGTCATTAAACTATTTATTTAAAAAAAATTAAAGATATTTTAATTGTTGACATTTTTATTTATTTAAATCTGCATTGTCATATATTGTCAATTATAAAAATATGTTTTGACTTGTCTGTTCACTTGGTTGATTACTAGCCAAGCAACGTATTGCAAATATGTTTAACATATCGGTCAAACCAAAACTAAGTACAGAAGTCTCTCTATTTATTGGTTTCAGCAAAGACCTAGATAACAAACAGTGCCCAGTCCTGTTAATTATGCCCTTCAAAAAGTACTGTCTTTAAAAAAAATCTCGTTTGTTTGGGCTTCAGTGTTGGATTTGATTGCCCCTCTGAACTATGGGCCTTGACAGGCCAATACCTTGGTCACCAAGATGGGCACCATGCCCATGCTGGCCATTGGCCATAGGCCATATGCATACTGGGCCAGGAGATGTCCAACCCTTGGCTCACGATTGCCAGCCTACAGTTGCTTATTTTTCCTGTGCCATGATGGATATCAAAGTAGAGTAAATGACTGCTGCAACTTTGTGTTTGGCTAGGGTGTTGATTGATTTTTACATGTTATTGACATTTGAATATTGACTGATTTGAAACAACAAACATTGGACGACCAATGTTGGACCAGTATGTGTACACGTCACCTATGTACTGCGAACACCATTTCCAATATGAGCCACTACAGGCCATTCCCAACTACACAATGGTGCAGGATTAGAAGGGTTGGACGTTAAGGAAAGAGTTTGAGCTAGAGGGTTAGGGTGGAGAGATAGTTTCGAGTGGAAATTATCACAGCTCAAGAGGGTTTAAATCGGAAACTGCTTAATTGACCGACTTACATCTTCGGCCTCCTTCACATAAATTCTTGTTGCCAGGTACCGAAGTACATAGCGAAGAGATGGGAGAAAGCTCCAGGCTGCAACGAAGTTGGCAAGCTGAAAATCACCAAGCCGGCGGGCCAGAAGGCCCAGGTATCGCTCACCCTCGCCGAGTCCATCCTACTCGAGGAACCTGGGAGCGAGCACATACCGAAGGAGCACAGGCTCGACGTGTCCGTCGTTTCCAGGCAGACTCTTGGCGTCTTCTCACATTACACTCGTAATTATTTTATTTATTACGCTATTTTTGTTCCTTCAAATAAATCTGTCTCACCTCGTACAAGCTATTTTGCTCAGAATACCTGTTTCTACAGTCCTTGCACGAGCTCTTGTAAATAGCATAATAACTTAACTTGTCGATGAATTAAAAAAAAAGAGCGTATAACATAATTGAGAGTTAATAATAAAACTGTTTAGCAAGTACTCTCAATTCTGTGGATACCTACTGCTTGGAGGCCAGCACTATCTTGCGAATTTAAAATAATAGTATTCCTTCTTTTTTAGCTTGTATTTTGTAATTCTAGTTTTTCGGTATTATTAAATAAAAATTATAATACCAGGAAAAGACAAGATTTGCTGGTTTTGATTGTTTTCTAAATGAACAGCTCCAACCGATCCCGAGGCCATCGTCCCAGAGACAGAGAAGCTGTGCTTCGAAGGAAAGATCGTGCAAAAACTGGAATGTCGACCTTACGGTATGCCACGATGAACTTTTTGAAATATCTTTTCCACGTTAAAGGTTTGTTTTTCTCAGCTGACAACTGCTACATGAAGTTAAAGCTTGAATCTATAAGGAAAGCCTCTCAACCGATGAGGCAGATCAAGCAGCTGGACAGGATTGTGCACAATTTCAAGCCCGTCTCTGACCACAAGCATAACATCGAGTACGAGGAGAGGAAGAAGGCCGAGGGCAAGAAAGCCCGGGACGACAAGGAAGTCGTGCTCGAGATGATATTCGCAGCCTTCGAGAAACACCAGTACTACAACATCAAAGATTTGGTCACCAAGACACGTCAGCCAGTTGTAAGTTTTTCCTTTGGCTTTTAATTGACAACTTCGCTTAATCCCCTCGTCTGTTTTAGGTCTACCTCAAGGAAATCCTTAAAGAGGTGTGTAACTACAATTTGAAAAACCCCCATAAGAACATGTGGGAGCTGAAGCCCGAGTACCGCCACTACAAAGAGCAAGACGAGCCTTCGACCAGCCAAGAGACTTAAATTCTCCAAATTTGGCTTTTCCCACCGATTCAGAATTTTTAATTTTTCCTTTCGGGAGCATTGTCCCAATACTTCCGTTTTAATCCACGAGCTTTAATTTAGTTGTAAGTCTTAATTATATTTTTTGTAATTAATTGAAAATTATTTATACTGTTTGTTGTCCGCGTGGATTGGTGAGTTGGAAATGTGAGAGACAAATGGTACGATAATCAATTATATATTTTATTTTTTATAAAATGAATATTTTATATAATGCAATGCCGAATTTATTTAAACAGTAATGAAACATCGAATTTAGTCGAAAAATTAGACAAACCTGACTGTTCAAATATATAACCAGTTTTAGATTAGTTTCGAGAACAAACTTTTGATCGTTTATGGAATTAAATGAAATTGTTTTGTTGCGAGTCTTGAGTTTTTTTAACCTGTGAATTGAAACATCACAAGAAGTCGCTACAGGGTGAATGTTTAATGATTGGTGATTTTTCTGTGTGCTGCGAAAAAAGAGACATAGGTATCGTAGGACTGCCGATAATGTCAATTTAATCAGCCCATTGCAGTTAATCCGATTTGCCTTATTGGTTTTTAACACGTTGTAATTATAACTGTTTTATATATTTTTTGTTTCACAACCGCAAAAAACATGTGTTTACACATTGTTGCTACAATAGTCTTTTAAAAGGAGAAATAGCGTCAAAAAGACTGTTGGGCAACGTATACCGAAATTTGGAGTAAGTACATCGAAAATGAAGGCTGCTATGGAGCGTACTAAAATAGTGCCGGACGTGGTAAGCACGGCTCCGGAAGATATGTTGAACATCCACTACAAGAGCGGGGCTGTCGTGAGCATGGGGAACGAGCTGACGCCGACCCAGGTGAAGAACCAGCCGGACGTTGGATGGAAGGACGCCGACGAGAACAGCCTGTACACCCTGGCCATGGTGGACCCGGACGCGCCGAGTCGCGAAGCACCCAAAATGCGCGAATGGCATCATTGGCTCGTGGTGAACATACCGGGGGCGGACGTCGCCCAGGGCGAAACGATGAGCGAGTACATAGGCGCTGCACCGCCCAAAGGTTCTGGCCTTCACAGGTACGTCTTCCTCCTCTACAAGCAGCTTGGGAAGTTGAAGTGCTCCGAGCCAAAACTGACGAACAAGTCCGGCGAGAAAAGGGGTAAGTTCTCGATAGCCCAGTTCGCCAAGAAGTACAACTTGGACGGACCCATCGCTGGAAACTTCTTCGAGGCGAAATTCGACGACTATTGCACCGTTATCCAAAAACAACTAAGTAAGAAGTAAGTCCGCATTTATAGTCGCATCACTACGATTTTTTCCAATTACATTGCTTGCTTGAAACGTTTATTTGGACTTAATTTTAGTATAGAATTAGTGGGTCTAATCAGTTATAGGTAAGAACAAACTCAAGTTCATTTTACTATGTATATTTATACAAACTATTGCAGTATCATCTCATCATTATACTGTTATATACTGACAGGCAAAAAATTCCACCCAATTGATTTTTTTCATTTTCTCTATAAAAGAAAATTCTGTCCTTAATTTGTGTTGTATTTACCAATAAATATTTTTTATGCTATGTTTTAAATTGGGAAAACCAATTACATGTAAACACACTTAATCCTTAATTCAAAACAAGGATATAGGATTTTCAATGTTTACTTTTTATGGAATTTAAAATGTTTATTCAGTCTCATTTGAATTTTGAAGATCTGTTTAGTTTTCATTTTTGTTTTCTTAATTTCAATTTTTAAACTTACAAATGCCATTTAGTATTGAGGTGTTGCGCGTGGTGTGATACTTATAGTTGATGGACGTTTCATCAGTTATGCGGCTACTGCAATCTGAGTTCCATACGACATTAGACGTTTTCGAGATACTAGGTCCTACTGTAGAAGGCCCGGTTCTGGACGCTCTAGGGTAACAGCACCACAGGATGACCGTATTTTGACTTTGAGAATTTGCGAAACCGGCACCTTACTGTTGTTCAAGCGATTCGGCAGCTCCAGGAAGTTCGAGGTGTCCAAATATATGAACGCACTCCTTGAAGAAGATTAAATCAGTATGGACTGATGGCTTTTCGCTCCGTAATAGGACGAGAATTGACCAGAACACACAGAGTTGCACGGCTCGCATTTGCTCGTGAACACAGCCTTAGGTCTTTAGACGATTGGTCTGCTGTACAGATGAGTGTCGATTTGCTCTAAAATCTCCAGATGGGCGTGAAAGAGTGTGGAGAAGGCGAAATAATAGGTACGAAGCTTGTAATTTTTTCCATTGCCAACCTTTTCAACGTAGCCCAGTGATGGTGTGGGCGGGAATTTCAATGGAGGGTCGCACAGAGTTGGTTGTTGTTCGTGGAGGGTCTTTGACAGCCACTGGCTATGTGGATGAAATTTTGGAACATCATGCGTTGCTTTTCTTAGGTGAAATCAGTGACAATCCTATTCTAATGCACGATAATGCCCGTCCACATGTCGCTCGCATAGTATTGGGTTGTCCGGAAAATAATGCAGGATTTTGGTATTAAACAAAAAAAAAGAAACTAGTTACTTTAAAGCAATGTTCTTTAATCAAAATAATTTCCCATACTCTCAATACATTTCTCCCAACGTGTTGGTAACTTATTAATTCCGTCTGAGTAGAATTCAGAATTTTTAGAATTGATAAAGTCAATAAATGCATTTTCCAGTTCCGTTTGATTTTTGAATATTATGTGTTGTAAGTAGTGGTCCAGGTGTCTAAAAAAATGGTAGTCAGTAGGCGAGAGGTCCGGAGAGTAGGGTGGGTGAGGCAAAGTTTCATAGCCAAGCTCCAATAATTTTTGTGACGTTACACGTGACACATGTGGTCGAGCGTTGTCATGCAACAAAATGGGCCCTTTCCGATTGACCAAAGAGGGCTTCATTACTGCCAATTTCTGATGCATGGTATTAATTTGGTTACAGTATGATTCAGCATTGATGGTTTCGCCAGGATTTAAGAAGCTGTAGTGTATTAAACCAAATGAAGCCCACCATACCGTAACCATTACCTTTTTTTGATGAGTTGGGGGCTTTGGAAAATGTATTGGAGCTTCTCCTTTGTCGAGCCACTGTCCAGAACGTCTAGTGTTATCGTAGAGAATCCACTTTTCGTCACATGTAACAATTCTGGCCAGAAATGGGTCATTTTTGTTTCGACAAAGAAGTGATGCACAAACATCAAAGCGCTGATTTTTTTGGCGATCGTTTAATGAGTGTGGAACCCAATTTTCGAGTTTTTTCACTTTTCCAATCGCCTTGAGGTGGTCAGCGACGGTCGTTTTACTGACTTTGAGTTGCTCTGCAAGTTCTCGAACAGTTGTTTTGGGGTTTTCTTCCACCACTGATCGCAGAACATCATCATTAAGAGAGGAAGGCCTTCCACGACCTTCTTCATCTTCAAGGCTGAAATCTCCCTCCCGAAATTTTTTAAACCACCTTTGCACAGTGCACTCATTAACACAACCCTCGCCCCAGACTTGGTTAATGTTTCTAGCCGTTTGGGCTCCGCTTCGGCCGAGTTTAAACTCGTAAAAGAAAATCGTACGAAATTCTCGCTTTGACATTATAAGGATGACTGAATTATTTCCACGTAGCGGAATGCTACAGAGGTAAACAAACAATATCATTTGGAAGAGGATTGTAATCCTGTAAACGTAAACAGAATATTTTATATAGATTTTTTTTAATGAAAACTTAAAATCCTGCATTATTTTCCGGACAACCCGATACAAACGTACCTTCAGGGTACAACATAACATCAGGGTCTTAGGCTGGACAGCACGTACTCCAGACTTGAACCCCATCGAATATTTATGGGATTACCTTAAGAGATGATTAAGACGTCTATCATTTCCTGATACGTTCCACGATCTTGAAGGGTCTATTCGTGAAGAATGGGCTTACCTCCAGCGAAGAGACATTTCCAGACTGGTAGAAAGTATGTCTAGGCGTCCTCGAGCTGTAATTAAGGCAAGAGGAAGAAATACGCAATATTGCAATGTTAATTAAAATCTAAAACAAATTTAGACTAAGCCTCAATTATTAAACATTAACAAACGTTAAACTTTGATTAATATATAAAAATATATACAATCAAATTATATTAAAAGCGGGTGAAATTTTTTTCCTATCAGTATGTATCATTATTATGAAAGACAACAAGGTTTTACAAATTAACTTTTCATCCCTAGATACCGATTAAAGAAGGTACTTGCATCATACAGTACTTATTATGATGATGGAGCTCCGTTAAATTAACCCGTTCCCTCATACTTCGGACGTTAGTTTGTTTCATCATGGTGGTCCGACAGACCTACTGCCAGACTTTTACCACTATTTTTCAGTTTTGTGTGTAATTAACTTCTATGTTTATTATTCTGAGGTATTTAGAAGGTCTGATAAAGAATTCATGATTAAAATATTCCAGAAAATACTTTTATTAATTTGAAAATACATTTACAAAATAATGCAGAGTGGATTTTCGCTTACTTTTTAGCTTTTTTACTATTTAGTTTATTTTCTTTTACTGTTTAACTTTTAGCTTCCAAGCTGCACGTCCATTCAAGACGATTGTCAAAAGTGCATGATAGAGCCTTTGGACTCAAATCTCAATTTGTTTTCGCTATCCTTTTAAATTTAACAAATATCATCCTGTCGTCTCTTAAATATTTACGTTTTTTCCGACGATTCTTGTTGATTCTTTTTCTGCAATTTTAACCTCTCTTGTTCTGAATTGTCCCTCCCTTAAACCTGAGCGACAGGCTTTTATCTGGAGTAAGGCTTGATTTTGCTTCTTTCTACCAGTTTTGAATCGTTCTCACCACTCTAATTGATTTCTGCTCTAGACATCTACAAGCTAAAAAATTAACTCCCATTTCATCCAGTTTCTTCAGAAGACCCTTGAAGGCCATATTTCAAAAAGCGGGCCTAGGACATGATCCCTGAGGGCAACATTTCGTGTTTAATTTTTCGATACAATCATGTGTTTCTTTGCTGTATTGTCCATCCTATACCACTGAAGACATCGAAGACCTATAAGACGAAGTTTCAGAGGACGTCCAATTTTGAATCTAACAGCTCTAGTTATTTAAGAAGTTTTAAACGGAATTTCTTGAATTTTTGATAGATAAATTCTTGGATATTTAGTTATTCCAAATCTTCAAACAGAAGAAAATGACCTCACATCGTATGGTCTGAATCATCACGTGTCCTCAGAGCACAGTGTTATCCATTGTGCCATTGTTGTGACTGAGTGAACAATATGGATTTATTTTTAGTATACGTGATTTAGTATATTTAGCAAAACAAAAGTGCAGTTCAGTGTTAATTTTTTATGAAGGTTTATTTTTTGAAGATAGCAAACTTTTTTTTTGGATATTCAGTAACTTGTTACTGTTGAAGTTGTGATGATGATGAATATGGAGACTAGGAAGCGGGGGTTTTATTTTTCATAATAACTGCAGCCTTCTGTCTTATTGTACTTCTTATTGTACTCTTCCTAGTTCCGTAGTTCAGTACATTCGACTCCATACTTCTCTTAAGAAGTATTAGTTCATTGGCATTGCTACATATCCTTTTCCTGGGTTTTCTACATATTCTATTGAGCGGTTGCTTCCATTTGAAGACGTGATGGGTGGCTTTTTCTTCCTGCTAATTGCATAACCTACAAATGGGGTCATCGTTGAATATACACTACTGAAGGCATCGAAGACCTATAAGACGAAGGCGCACGTACATGTCTTTTCAGATGTCACTGACCGGTGGTCTTAAGACTCCTTTCAGTTTAACTCTCTATAACTGTACCTGTGAGTTTGCCAGTCTTGATGAAAGGTGTTTTATAGGTCACACAATTTTACTGTGTCTGGCACCTCTAGAGATTATCCATTTCTCTTTTTTCCTTTTTTGGATCCATTCTGTGGTGGAGCATTCTGGGTTTGTTTTTGTTATCCCAAGTATAGATTCAGGCCTATATATGGTCGAGCCGATGGCCAGTTTGTCTGCCTTTTCGTTACCCAAAATTCCTTTTTGTCCTGGCAGCCAAGATATCATCATTTTTTTGCGTTTATCCAGGTTTTGGAGATTTTCGATGTGATCTTTTTACAGTTGTATCCTTTGTGAATTTATTTTTGTGGAGGGCGATATAATAAGTAAATACACGACTAATATCACAATTTATTCAAAAAGATATTTTTCTACTCTTACAAAATGTACAGCTTTTTGAGGCAGTGTTTCTCAAACATTAAGACGAATAAAATATATTTTTGTTGTACGTGTCCATAGAATTCTGTCAAATAACAACTTGAAGATATATTATTTACAACTTTGAAAATATATTACAAAAATATTTAGATTTATATAATAATCTTATTAAAAGTGTAACAAATCTCTCTGCAAATTGAAAACTGATGGGCCGTTCATTAATCTGACATTCGATTTGTAGTGGGAAATTAATGGAAAGAAGGCACTTGAACTGCCGACGGTTCGTCAACATTATCACATTTCAACAACGTTCGGAAATGACATGGTTCAAGTGTGGGACGGAAAGAAGCGGAAGGAGACGACTGGTACTGCGGGTGGTGGTCCATTCCGCCGTCCACACTCCACTATGGGCTACTGAGTACTGGCCTGTTTGTGCGCGATCGGGTTGACGATGGTGCCGACCATGAGTACGACGTCCGTCTCCTTGTCCATCACCAGATAGGCGAACGGGTGGTTGGCGATGAAATGCTGTTGCACGTCGCTTGGCGTCGCGTCGAACCCTGCAACACAGAATCGACAATGTTGTTTTTTCTCTAGATCTTTGTGTTAGAAAAGGACTCTTACATCTATGATTGGCGTAATACTTTCGTAGCGAAACAGTCACGACCTGCTCTATAGTCCTCACGAAAAGGTGTGGCTCCGGTGACATGTTGCTCAAGTCGGATTTGAACGGGTCGAACAGGCTGCGGATCCCTAGCTGAAAACATACATCTTTCAAACACTAAAATAAACTATTACCGACCGGAGGCAATACTAAGTAAATAGTTTGTATTCCAGAAGGACAATGCTCCTGTCATACAGCGAAAATGTACAGTCCTTTCTTTCAAAAAGAAAAAAATCAAGTTTTGGAATGGCTAGCCAGGTAACCAGATTTTAATATATTTGAGATATTAATATATTATATAACAGATATTAATATAATTGAAAATGTCTGGGGTCATCTTGTCAAGGCTGTTTATAAGGGCTGCGGCCAGTACGCAGAAGAGATGATATGAACGATCCAAGAAGATTGGGGAGAAAGACATTTTCTCAAGATGTTACAACCATCACTATTCCGCATCGTTGAACATGCCTACTTGAATATAGGAGGGGTAACAATTACATTTAAGACGTTACCCTATACTTCTAGTCTGACTGATACTATCAGTGAGACCCACTTTTGCAATTTCCCGTCTTCAGAGGCGTATGTCACAGACTGAATATGTCAAAACGCGTTTGGCAGATATAGAAACTGTTGGTATAGGAGATGATCGAGCTATATAGGCTTAAAAGGATGCTGCAAATACGAACGATACGTTGTATACCTGGTTGGCTAGAGATTTTACATAGCATTGCAACTCAGATTCTGAAAGCTGTGGGAGTGGATTTGGCCTTTTCACTTTACCTGGGCGAGCGCAGGTCCCAGGTTGACGTGTTTGACGACTGTGAATGAAGGTACGACTGCGTAGACGGCAGTGGTCTTCATGTGGCTCATAATCGCTCTTACGGGGCACCACTGCAACTCGTAAAGCAGTCCGCTCAACCCTAGTCTCTCCTCCGGCAGCAATATCACGATTGAATACCTCGGATCCTAAAAATAAGTGTCATGATTGGAGAAAAATAGGCCTTTTCTGATTACTCACATCAAGGGGTAGTTGGAGGGCCAGCGCATTTAGCTGAGAAATATACGCAAAGGGCAGATAAGCCGTGTATGTTAGTACAGGGACTGTCTCTCCTCCTTGAAACATAAAGAACCAAAGTTCGTTCTGAGAATTGTAATTCCACCGTGGGTCTTGATAATGAGGAACCCAATTTGATATGCCGTCTCTGTGTTCAGCGACTACAAAAATATTTATATCAGTAATAGTGCCACACAATAGTAACACAATACAATACCAAGGTGTGATGAGTCCCTGTAAGAGCTGCTACGTTTCTTTCTAGACGATTCTGAACTTTCAGCGGTACTGGGGCTTTCTGTGGAAGGTTGACTGGTAGTTATTTCGAGAGTAGCGGTGAAAGATTCTGTAGAGAGGGGTTGTGTCTCGGTAGATGTAGATTCCGATGGGGCAAAAGTAGTTGCAGATGATGCTTCAGAAAAGGGTGAGGATGATGACGGTTCAGTCGGTGTTGCTACCTCGGGTTCTGATTCGTCTAAGTGATGTTCGTGTTCATCCGACGAATGCGATTCGGTAAGTTCAGTTGATGACGACAATTCAGGAGTGATCGTAGATACCGATTCATCCTGGAGTGCTGAAGTTTCAGTAATTACAGGTGTGATAGGGTTTACAATGGAAATTTCCGTCATTGAAGTTTCCGCCATGGTCATGTCTGCCGAAGTGGACACGGGTGTCATCACTTCGTTCATTTCCGCGGTAACAGGTTCATTAGTGGTTGAAAATAAACTTATCGCGGTTTCGGGTGCATCCGATTCTGTGGTTTGGACTGTTTGGGCAGTAGAAATTTCTTCTTTGATTTTTTGGGGTCCTTCCGTGACTTCAACGTTCGCCGTACTGGTGTCCGAAGAAGTTTCACTTGATTCAGTCACAGTAGTTGGTAGTTCTGTTGTTATCTGCATGTCGATTTCTCTCATCTCGGATCTCATTGTCGTTAGAAAACTCTGGTTTATTTGCGACATGACTTCCGGCATCTCGCGCATCCCTACATTGGCTTCAGTAACCTGCGTCGTCGGTGTAGTTTCAGATAGGACTGTCATCGGATTCGTTTCAACAGTCGTGGACAGGGTTTCAGCTTCCGAGATTGTCGTCGTCGACACGGTTGAAATCACTGTCGTTGTAGTCATTGGCGTCGTCAGGTCCTGTGCTACAGCCGTAGTCGTTCCGTTAGTCGCAGAAGTCGAATTTTGCTCCACAGGGCTTATTGTAGATGTGTTTTTAGGTGATTCCGTTACTATCGACGGTCTAGAAGTGGTCAATCCGACTTTGACATCGAAACCGTAAAACAACAGCAGATCGGAGTAATTGTTGTGAATAATTACATCCGGCTTGCTCAGCACCAAACCTCGGAGGAAACCATCATTGGAAAAGTAACTCTGGAAATAAAAGGAAGAAATAAAACAGGAAATTGGAAAAAGCTTTAGAAATTTACCTTAAGATATCTATGCATATCCCTGAAGCCGATTCTAGTGACTTCCCTGTCCCATGGGAGCCTGAGCGTATTGTGGATTTCGGCGGCTGTCGGCCCTCTTGCTCCTTCGTAAAGCACCAGTGCCACAGATACAAGGCCGTAAGGCGAAAAAGCCACATTTTCGTCCCTCGAGGCAAGTACCTAATTACATGAAGATTTAATATTAGTACACAACAGTAAAGAAAGTGTTTCTTTTAAGCAGTCGCATATCGTTTTGACGGTCATACAGCAATTGCGCTATAATTAAAAGACATTATTTTAAAAAGATAGTATTGCTAAAAAATCATCGAATTCACACAAGAAGGTTATCAAACACTACTACCTTCTCCAATTAGATGCCCCAATGCACCTTGGCCAGATCAAACGCAGAAAAGTGTCAGCTTCTTTTCGATCACCTTTTCACATTTTTTACTCTACTTCTCGATATGCATATCATTTCACACAAAGATCACAGCGCTGAATTCTTTGACTCTCATCTCCCTCTCTCATCAACAGCCCTTCTACCTCACATCAAGTTTTGCATCTTTCCGAAAGGAAATTCTCGGGCTATGATTTTATTAACCATACTATTATCCGAAACCTACCCAAAAAAAGCAATACAAATACATTTGTACAATACATACAATACATTACAACTATTTACAACGCAATAAGTCGCAAAGCGTCCAGTGTAAAAGTGTAAACCATCCTTAATAACCCCAAATCCCTTACTGCCTGCTCATCTTATACATTCTTATCTCAAAACTGAATCCTCAACCATCAGTATGATTCCATCCCTCAATTCATGTTCACCATTTTAGAGAAGTCGATACGATATCCTCGTTCTACTCTCTCAAGAAATGTTGATCAGCCGTATTTCTGGACATTATGGAAGCATTTGAACGAGTGTGGCACCCAGCCTTCTTTTCAAGTTAAAAATCTTTCTCGCTCACACATACATCTCACTCTGAAGCCTTCCTCTCGTATCGCTTGAGTGAGAATGAGCTCCGATTTTTCACACATCAAGCTAATAAAAGCTGGCGCCCCGCATGGGCGTATCCTAGGAGTAACCATCTACACAATTTACACGCTGTCATACCCACAGTTTCTAACACATCAAAAACATCGGGACCTCATGGTATGGTGATAAGAATACTAGGAGGCGGGGTTTGTGTCTCCAGGCACTGCAGCCTTCTGGCTTATTGTACCTTCCTAGTTCGTTAGTTCAGTTGAATGGACTCAATCTTTCTCCTTAGAAGTATCAGGCCATTGTCTGTCGCTGCTAAGTTAAGTAGTTGCCTAATTTTTTTTTTCGTATGTTAGGTTGAATCTCCATTGAGCTGTTGCTTCGCATTCGAAGATGATATGGGTGGCTGTTTCCTCCTCCTCATTACATAATCTGCAGATGGGAGCATCGTTGTATATGCCCATGTTGTGTAGATTTTTTCTCAGATGCTAGTGACCGGTCAGTAGTCCTATCACTCCTCTGAGCTTAGCCCTCTCCAGTTGCAGTGATTTTGCCATTCTTGGTGAAGGTTATTTCATCAAAAGTTTACTATGTCTAGCATCGCTAGAGTTTATCCATTTCTCCTTTTGTTTTGTTTGGATCCATTCTGCGATGGAAGATTCTATATTTGGTTTTGCTATCCCAAGTATATGTTCGTGGTCTATGTATGGTCTTGCGGATCCTCCTCTGAACAGTCTGTCTGCTTTCTCGTTACCCGAAATTCCCCTGTGCTCTGGCACCCAACATATCATCAAGTTGTTGTGTTCCCCAGGTTTTGGAGATTTTGGATGCATTCACTGACTAATTTTGATGTGACTCTTTTACATGCTAATGCTTTAATGGCTTCTTGGCTATCAGATCTTATGAGGAATTTTTTTGTTAGTGAAACCTCTTTTAAGATTTTCCAGGGCACAAGCATTGATGATATGTATATCTGCTTGAAAGACCGAAGTGTACTTCCTTAATGAGTTTGATTGCTCATGTTTTGGGCTTGTACAGAAAATGCCCGATCCGGTTCCTTCATTCGTTTTGGAGCCATCTGTATACCATACCATTGTATCTGATGCGCTCCTGTGTTCTTCCTTTCCTTTAAAATCCGTTGATACTTGCTTTGAAGAATGTTTCCGGGATTACCAACAGGTGCACTTAAATGAAAAAAGTCAACACATGGGGGTTTACGCTCAGACTCTCATAAACAGAAGTTAACCGTCCACTTACATGAGCTTTACGTGGCAAACAGACTTAAATGGAACACATACTCGGCTAAAAGACATAACTCAACAAAAGAATCGGACAACTTAAACGGACCTAAATATAGACTAAGCACATTTGACTTAGGGAGTCGACCTATGCTTCGGCCAAATTGTCCAACTTCCAATTTACCCAATCCTTTCAATCCAAAGTCCTCCGTTGCATCTTCAACGATCCCTTCTATGTCACCAATCTGTCTACCTAAAAGTTCAATTCGCAGAGGATTTAATTCAAACAGATTTCCACAATTTTCATATGTAGCTAAGATTCTAGTAGTGTGGATGGGTGGTAAGGGTGTAATTAGGCTTCTTCCCTTCGTGACTTAATTCTATCATGACGAATCCTAATGGATTAAGTCCATTCCAAAACTAGATCTTATTTGCGGGAGCTTACAAATTAAGCCATTTTATTACTAATTGATTGGGTATAAAAAAGGCGATTATCTTCTCTGGCTGTTTACATCTATATATTGTTCATTGTACCTTCATTCTTTGTTCGTGATAGGATGCTCGGGACACGAAAATAACTTGCATGTAAGAGTTATGATTTATACGGATTAATTGCAAGGGTTTTTCGCTTCGTTGCAGTTGTAATTTGATCGTTCCAAATCATATTTTGATTGATTATTGTTTCTGCTGTGTTCTGACTGAGTACAAAAAGCCGAAAAGCGTCTGAGAGACCAAACAGCTTGTCAGACCAAACTGATCGGGAAAATACAACGAACTAATAGCTCAGTGGAACAGTACCTCAAAAATCTATTGTTTGGTCGTTTCCAATCATATTTTGGATGCTTATCATTGATGTTTTTGGTCTGTAAGACTCGTTTCTGCGTCTTGTCATCTTCAGGCGACAGACCCCAGCAATGAGGGTGGGTGGCGAGAAGTGAAAACGCTTCTAACAGACCATTTTTGGACTGTCTCTCCTCATAGTTTTGTCTGTCAGTTGCTTTTCGGCGTTTCTTAATCAATCAGAAAAAATATCAAAACTAGGCAGACGAAAATGATCAGTAACGACACATTACATGTCCATCCCCTCGCAGACCAATCTCACAATGGGGAATATTGTTCATTAACAACATTAACAATTCTGAATTAGGCTTTACGGACGGTATTTCAGACAAAACTAGCCTTAAATAAAATATTGTGACTTTTGTGCCAAAACTGTTGAGCAGGTCTGAACATTAGAGTAAAACTTTGACGGCAAAAAAATCTGACTTTATCCACTAAAAAAATTGATAATGCGAAACATAAAGCGTTCGAAGACTGGCATGGGCGAGTGACCCGACCGAGTTGCGGATCATCATTAAATAAACAGTGCAATAACGGGACAGTTTTATCGATCTAACTCTGAATCTCTGATAGTCAACTATATTTTGTTTTTCCCGTTTATATTAATAAATCCTGCATCGCCGTTCAAATACTATACGGCGGAGAAGGATCAAAATTACATTACAATACTTAAACAATATAAAATTTGTAAGAAGGTTAGATCAAAAATCTGTTTTTCGTTGTTGGCAACAACAAACATGGCTTAATAAATTAATATTGCTTGCTGAGGACATTTCAGGAGCATGGGTTTATGCCCAGCATGGGGAAAAACATAATTCTGATTCCTAGAAAGAAACTACAAAAGTTTTGATTTTTGGTTTAATAAAAACAAAGATCAGAAAGAGGATATACCCTTAAAAGCACGAAATTTCTGACTATAAGGACATATTACAACAGGAGTTAGCTGATTTCAGTACAACTTATTTCTATCAAATTAAATTTTATGAATCCTGAACAACATAAATTTGGATTTACATGGATGGTGGATGTGTTTTAACTCCATAATCAACTGAAACAGCAGAAAGAACCGATTACAGCAGTTTGATTCGTCAGAGACCATTAATAAGAAGGAGAAGCCTGGAAGGTTATGAACCAATTTTAGAAACAGCAACGAAAAGTAGATCTAATTGCATTACGATGCCCTGCCATATTTTGGTTTAATCAGCGCATGGATAAAAAAATAAAATCAAATTTGAACAGAATGAATCTGTAGAATGGACACTACGGACCTAGTTTACCCTTAATAGGCGAGAAAGCTTAAACTGGCTTTTGACTTTTTGGCAGGCGACAAATGGACTGGAGCCATCTATTCAAATGGGTTTATAAAAGCAATGAAAAGAGGGGAAAAAAGCCGATTTGTCAAAGTAAACAGAAATGGGAAAATATGACATGTGTTACTGCGACCTAGACATTGAAAGAGGGTAATGAACCTAGCCCTCACGCGAACTTTTCTCAGAGGACGTTAAAGGAAACGAAAACGCGCTGCACAGGAGTAGAGTTTTACCTTAAATAATTTCAACTATCACCATTACCTCGTTGCCAAAGTACTGATAAGTTAGGACGTTTTCCCTGCAGTTTGCCTGGTACCTCTTTTTAAGACTTAAAACTTTATAATCCATGTCAATTTCGAGTTTTCAGCAGCTATTTTGAACGCCTCACACGAGAGTGAGGGAATTAGTAAGAATTTTTTAAACTAACCAAAATCCTGGAGTCTTTTTACTCCAGTCAACACAGCTCGATAAACCACGTTGGATATTTTCTATTTTTCAAGATATACACCCATACAAGACACCCAATATCGAAGAAAACATTTACGACTACAAATAACATTGTTCCATGGAGCTAATCAATTTTTCTCTCCTTGGCCAAGCATATCAAAGAGAGTACACGGAAGGTTCCCCAATGAATCGTGATTGGAGATATCATCCGTGAAAATCAAAACTAATTATTCTGTGTAGAGATTAGTGACCGTTAATCGATAGTTATTCAGATATCGTGAGACCGACCGCATCTCACGATATCTGAATTATTCTCTTAAATCCTATCTCAAGCAATTCTTGTGCATCTCTATCCATCTT